CAGGTGCAGGCACCAGCTGAGTCTGCTCTGGCCCCTGAGGTGATGGAGGACCCATTGCCTGCAGGTGCTCCATGCTCAGCCCCGTCAGGGGAAGAGGAGATTGCCTCTGGGTCTGGTAACCCTCCAGCCTCTCCTGAGCTGCAGAGGCTCAGGGCAGAGAGGCGGAGGGAACTAAGTTCCTGCAAGAGGAGTGCTCGCCTCCAGGGCCAGGAGAGGCGAGTCACCTGTGGACCGGGGCCGCCCTATGCCTCGGGGCAGATAAAAGCCAGTCAGCCCCAGTCCCAAGTTGCGGGAGCAACATTGTTGGTAGCCTGTTCCTGCCTGCACCCTGCCCTGCTCTTCTGCCAGAGTTCCTGACCTTACCCGACTCATTGCCTTGGACCCCACCTCGCCTTTGACAGCCAGCCTCTATACCAGACCCTTGACCTCGGACTGGACTTGGACCTCGCCTCTTGGTTAGCGCCCGGGACCAGCACACACGGTTGGCTTTCACATTATATTTGGGGTGTCGCACCGTGTAGAAGCTACTTCCGGAAATCTAGCACGATATACTGGAAGTTTGGCACTCGCTTCCGCGTCAAGTTGATTCTGGAAATAATTCGTTTGCAGCCCCATTCACTTGGGAAATCGTGGGAGTGGAGAGGAGTGCTCTGCCAGCATACAGTTCTTCCCTATCATTTTCATGGCTGAGTTATTGGGGAATGCCTGTGAGGAAGTGATGGGCAAGTAGCAACACTGTCTACTGAGGACTTTGTCATGCCACACTCACTGAAGTGAAAGACATTGAACTATGACATGCCAGATCTGAAATTCACTGCATGCTATGATTTTTAAAAGAATTTCATGAAAATGCTCTACAGGTGGTACCTAACAGCTGCAAAACTGGTCAAAATGTATAAATCTAGGGGAAACATTTGTTGGAGATGCAGGGAGGCGGGAGGTACTATGATCCACATGTGGCGGAACTGCAAAAAAAGTCATGGAATTTTGGGAAACAATATATAATGAACTTAAATAATAATGTTTAAATGTTCTTTTCCTAAGAAGTCTTAAACCTTCTTGCTAGGCATACCAAGCAATGAAATTCCAGAGAAATATAGGGAAAAAATTATGTATACAATAGCAGCAGCTAGAATTCAAATCGCAAAGGGATGGAGACTCCACCCCATCCAAATTAGACTGGCAGAACAAAATGTGAGAATACGTAGAATTAGCAAGACTACCAGCAAGACTCTGAGATGACACTGACCAAATATTTAACAGAGAGTGGGACGTACACAGAGTTTATCTAAAAGAACATTGTAAAAATATAAATTCTTTGACAGGCCTGGATTGACTTTCTGCATGAAATAAGAGAACTTTATAAAATTATTATAACTGAAACAACTTAGGAGAGATAAAGATAAGTGTGTAGTTAATAAATGTAACTTAGGAACCACAATGAGGGGACTGGCAGTCATGTGGAAATTAATCATAATTTTGTTACCTATAACAAGTATCAATTTTGGATTGATTTTCCCCTCTGTTGATTGTTTTGTGTGGTTTTGTTTTTAAAATCAATAAAGCATTTTTTTAAAAAGAAGACAGACATTGAAGCATGACATGTCAATATATTAGTCAAGAAGCCCGTTCCATAACACAACAGGTACCGCAGAGTGAAAGGAATGCTAGCAAACAACTATTCCCCATGTCTGAATACACCACTCTAGCAGAAGTGGGAGACTTCAGTTCTGTTGATGGTCACATTCTGGCAGGAGCTACCTACTGGGAGTGGGCGGAGCCACAGCTGGGAATGGGCAGTCAATAGATCCTATGGGCTCCCACCAACCTTCCTAGGCCTCCTCTTGAGGGTCACTCCAAACAAAGAAGCGCCTACCAGTTTAGTTCACATTTTTTAATAACATGGCACAGATTTACATTACACAAGTCTTCGCTCATGAGGGAACATGCTGTGGATTGAATGTCGCTTCAGGGTTTTTTGTATTTTTTGTTTCCTTTTCACATAGGATCTAGAAAGGACTTTATTACATACAGGAGAAACAGCAAAAAGATTTGTATATAACAATTTCTTTACAATACTGAAAGCTATCACTACAGTGCCAGTGTACATCCCCCCCATCCCAGGATTTTCTTACGTCTTTTTTTTTTTGTCCGTTTTGTCTTGTTCTTTATAAAACACTGCACAACATCTGGAGTTCACAAAATCTGAAGTTTACAACTAAAACTTTTTTAGTTGACTACTAAAATAGAATTCTGATCATTAGAAACAGCTGTCTGTAATTAGACTTCTCTTTTTCTTTTTTGTCAAACAGGAAAACAACTTGAGATACCACTTTAATACACTAGAAGACCAATGGAACTATTTTTTTTTATTCCATACATATATATTTTTTTTACAGTCCAGTAGTAGACAAGATATTGTAAGCTTCCTGATAAAGTCATATTCTCTCCAAATTATTTCGAAACAGAACACAACGTAAAAAATAAAACTTATGAAAACAGAGGTTTTCAAAAAGGCTAAAACAATTTCCATTCTTTAAAATTAATATATATTTATCTTTTATCTTGTGATTCCATTGCCACTGTGGTTAGAACATGCTGAGCTAATAGCAGAAATTACAACCAAAAATAAAAAATAAAAAAATGAAATGAATAAACTAATCCAATAATTGATTGTGCAAGAAAGAAGTATCAACATACAGTGCAATTGTTTCTGAAAAGCCAGTGCAATCCATACAGGCCTACTCAGAAGTGAGTCCCATTGAATTCAATGGGGTGGACTCCCAGGTAAGCATATATACCATTGCAGCCTAAATGTCTTGTTTAATGAAGCAGATTTCTGCTGACCAGGGGAAATGGGAAGAGAGGAAATATGCATCCAACCCAAAACAAGAGGCATGAATGGCTGCCCCCCCCCTCAGTCACCACAACACCAATGAAATCCAGAATAACCAGACATTTCCAAGAGGAGCTGTGTTAAAAATTATACTGTGCATATCCCTAGAAGTGCCAGGTTCATAACACCCTGCATTTAGAAATAAATTGGATCAATGTTACTGTGGTGCCTATTTATGGCCTGCCACTCTGCAGAATAAGCCCACAAGCTTCCAGAAGTAACAATATATAACAAAAGGAAACAAGAACACATTAGTTCCATTGTTTATTTTCTTTACAGCCTGTTCCTGGGACACTGTTAAAACCAGGGCTTTGGGGGGGGGACTCACAGGAACTCAGTTCTGGCACCTCTCAAGTGGGTGCCATTGCCATTCTAAGAGAATGAGGGAGGTGTTCATGGTGAGTTACGGCACCTCTTTTTCTAGAAAAATAGCACTGGTTAAAACCATCACATTTTGGGGAGCAAGGTCCGATGTGGGTGTGCTTTGTCATCACTATAGTCTAGGTGCAGCTAATTTCAGAAAATGGATGGAGTCACCAGGACAAGGCCCAATATCTTGGGGCATCTGAGACATTTCTTTCCTATTCCCTCCGTCTCAACGCTCCTTCAAGTTCAACTGGTGGTGGTGAAGAAGTACACCCCTCCCTTTTTCCAGCAACTCATGAGTTGCTTGGCAATTTAGCACCTTTGGGAAATGGCTTCATCCATCTGGGAGAGGCAGTGGCAGGCAGGGAAGAGCAGGAGGTGATTAGAAACCAGCCAGTGGGATATACAGGTAGTGACTGCTCAGCACCACTCTATGAAGTCAAATGCCTCATTTGCTGAATGGAGTTATGTTAGTCCCAGAGTTCTGGCAACCCTATAGTTGGACCAGAAATTTGAAGGTGACATCAGGGACTGAAGGAGTTGCCCATTGGCCTCAATTAAGAGATCACTGAACATATAGCTGAGCCATGATGTAGCACCCTTGCACAAGCAGGCACCATCATTTTTGAGACTTCCCGGGCAAGATACGGAGCTTTAGCAAAAGAGAGAAAACGTAAAACCATGGACAGAAATTTGGTTTTGGCTCTTGGAGACACGAGTTCAGGCCTGGCCTGGCTAAGGATTCATTAAGTTGCTTTGAGCAAGTCCTTGCCTCAGACTTAAGTTCCTGATTTGCAAAATGTGAATCCTAGTAACCCCGGTAGGGCTACAACAAGGAGGACGGACATGATCAAATACTGTACAACACTTTGCAACTGAAAAGCACAAGACAAAAGTGGTAATAAGCAGCAGCAGCAGCAGCTGATACTAAAGTTCTGTTTGCTGAAGTTTGGATGGCTTACTTTTTTCATCAAAAAAGGTGGCAAGCAGGTGAGAAAAGTATGTTCAGGGAAAGTATGACTTCTAAGTGGGTGGTTGAGTTTGTTGACAAGGCTCCTTTGAGTTTAAAAGAGGCTTTTGTGAAAAGCCCTAGAATTCATTGCATAGCTGAAGGGATTTAGCTGTCATATAACAAGAAAAATGCTGCAGGCAACTCAGCAGTGGCCTTGCACGCCATTAAAAGTCTGCAAAGAGCACAGTTTAAGAAGTATTAATGTATTATGTTACTTAGCTTTCTTTCTATTTACATATTTACAAAGTAAAGCTTTCATCTTACCCATTTTGCATAAATGACCCATTAACCCATGAAGTAATATGGGGGGCAGGGGGGGGGGAAGGAAACACCTTGCGGGGAAAAGAAAGATCTACAGTTTCCATCATTTTAGCATGGGGGGAGGGGGAGAAAAAAGAGGGATAACTTTTTTTAGAGCCAAGATACTGACTTGCAGCATCTTACTCCTGCTGGGGGGTGGGGTGGGGATTCAAAACAATTAGGGGGGCATAAAGAAAATGCATCAACTTTTTTGTCTAAAGTTTCTGAAAACATATAATATACAACCCAACATCATATCATCATCATTATTTTTTTTAAAAAAACCAACAAATATATTTGCACAATTGAGTCTATACATTTTTTATACAGTTGGGTCATAACCAAAGTCTAAATTTGTTGAGTAAGAAGATCTGCACTGACATTCCATTTAACAAAATGTCCTCTCCTGGTCTGATTCTGTTTGCCTTATCGTGCTTCTATGTCCTTGAGTGTGTGTGAGGGTGGTCTGTCCCGCATTTCTGACGACAAAGGGGTAGTCCTGCGCGGGGAGCTAGGTCTAGGTCCCAGAGTCGAAATGAGAGGGGGAGGGGCACTTAGAGCCGCCGTCGGGGGGCTTTTATTGAGGATCCCATTCTGAAGTCCTGAGGAAGGGCTGACCCTGGGATAGTGCATGCTTGGAAGTCCTGGGGTGATTAAGCTAGGGTGAGGCAAATGGCCGTCCAGAGCTGCAGGGTGAACAGAGTGAAGCCGTACGTGCTCATAGTCCTCTCTGAGCATGTGCAACCTCTCTCTCTCGTCCAGGTGGGCCCCCCTCTCATGCTCACGGCGAGGGTCGACCGAAAGTGGGTGGTGATGGTGACTGTAGTCATGTGGCTCTCTGTCCCTGAACGACCTCTCTGCATCATATAACCTCGGTGCAGAAAGACGGTGCAATGGGTCATTCCTCAGGAGAAACTCTCTGCCCAAAGGGTCTCTCCGGTGGATATCCAAGTCTCGGTAAGGATCTCTCAACGGATCCCTCATTGGGTCCCAATGGAAGGAAGGGTAAGGGAATCGTTCGCTGCCTGGAATTGGGCTGATCCCCATAAAAGGTGTCATCATGCGAGTCCTGTCTAGACCGCTGATATTGTTCATGGGATGGATGCCGGTGACACCCACAGACATGGGCATTGACACCAAAGGGCCTGGATGAACATTGGAGGTGGGCATTGGTGGTGGTGGTGGTTCAGACGGCCTGTGTGTCTGTGGAGCTTCAGGTGGGATGTCATGATCCTCCTTCCTTTCCTCCTTCACTTTAACTTCGCTGGATTTCTTCAGACTCTCATACGCAGGCTCATTCTTTTTCTCGGTATCTCGGCTAGAGGTGCTGTTAGGTCTGGTGTTCTCCACAACAGCAGGCCTGGTATAGGGTGACGGTACCCGAGATGATTGCTTAGACTCTTCCAGTGGCCTGTTCTCATGGGTTAGACCTTCTTTGTCTGAAATATAGTTGTCCTTTGCCTTGTGCTCATCAACGTTAACATCTTTCCGAGGTTCGGACTGATCCCTCTCGCGCTCTTTGGGTTTCTCTTTTTCCCGTATCTCTGGGTTCAGGTGGCTCCTTATCTGCTCAGCTGAGCTACGGCCATGTCCAAGGGAGCTCACAGAATGGACAGGTGCAGGAGAAGGATGGCTGGAGTGTCTTTTCTCTATACTCTCCCTAGATGAAGGAAAGCACAACAGTCATCTGTTGCAGGACACTACAGAAAGTAGAGGTCTATACCCAAAGCTTGCAACTCATTTCTCAATAGCATACACCAGGTGTGGAGAACCTTTGGCCCTCCAGGTACTGCTGAACTACAACTCCCATCATCATGGCCATCGGCCATGCTTGCTAGGGCTGATGGGAGCTGTAGTTCAGCAACATCTGAAGGATCAATTGTCATCACACCTACCATACACTGAAGTCTCTTTAATTTCAGTAGAGTTGACAACTCAGAAGTCCAAATGAGTTACAGTGAGTTAGGATGGCAACACACACTTTGTTGTGTCCCGGGACGACAACAATATTTTCTATAAGAAGAGTCCTACTGTGTAAGATAAAATTTCTATCTAGTCCAAGATCCTGTTTCCAAAAGTATCCAGCCAGATACTTTCTCACAAGTTCAACTGGCAGGTGTCAACCATCTGGCATGTCTCCCAGTAACTAGTTTTCAGTGGGACACTAACTGTGAACATAGAAAGCTGCCTTTCAACTGAGTCATATGGTGAGTCCATTTAGCCCAGAATTGTCTACACAGTGACTGCAAAAAGCTCTCCAGGCTTTCAGATAGGGTGTCTTTCTCAGTGGAGATGCTATCTATCATCTATCTATCTATCTATCTATCTATCTATCTATCATCTATCTATCTATCTATCTATCTATCATCTATCTATCATCTATCATCTCCTACCTCTTCCCACCACCCCAGGAAATAATAGATAAAAGTAATTAAACTATAATGGAATTAAAACAATGCCAAAACAAATCTATTAAAAAGTGGATAGTATAATTTAAAAAAGTAGTTGGTTCCCTAAAGCCTGAAGGAACAGTCTTCATCTACAACATAGGAGCATGCCTCTAGTAAGCCTAGCAGCAGCCACTGAGAAGGCCCTCTTCTGCATCCCTATCAAACATGCCCATGTGAGAGGTGATCATGAGAGAATGGCAGTATCACCACCTGGGCTGGTTATAAGTAGATGGGCAGGCAGGTTGGAGCTGGCTCAGAGCAGACTGAGCTTGTTGGGACAGTGCCTTATTTGCCCTCCTGGACCAGCCTCCCCTGATCCAGAGTTTTCTCGCAGAGCCTGCCAATCAAGGGGGGGATACTATGGCTGCAGTTCCATTCTATGTCTGAAGAGGGCTCTGCAGCCAGTCAGCATGACCGATGATTAGGGAACTTCTGGGAAGACCCGGTAGTTGCATAAGTAGGAATGACAAGCCTGTCGGCTCCTTGCCCCGGCGTTGCGCTCAACGATGCTCAGAAAAGTGTTCTTTCATACCTGTCTTTGTCATCTTTACTAAGAGAAGAGTCTCCTTTATCTACATCTCTATCTCGCTCATGAGCTGCAGCAGACGAACTGCGTTCCAGCTCACCTGGCTTGAGCCAGGGCGGAGGGGTCGGGAACGAAGGAGGAGTTCGGTGCAGGCGGTTCCAGGGCTCGTGTGGGTTGCTAAAGCTCTGCATACTGGGGCAATCCTTGTGGCCGAACATAGTGTTGGGCGCTGAAATGGTGAAGGGGGGAAAGAAAAAAAGAAGAAGCAATTTGCTCAGTCGATGGTACTTACCAATCAAACCCAACCTTTTTTTTTATTTTTACAGCACTCAGAGTTTAAAATGAATACATATATTGGGGAGCTGGAAAAAGGAAAGGAGATTAACAGATAAGCATTAGAATTGGGTAATCCTCACATTCGGAAGGCAACTTGCCATTCAATCTTATTTGTGCATTATGCATCTGTGAAAGAGACTGCCTTTTTGAGGGTGGCACATCAGCTTTGGAATACCCTAACCCGAAAGCAGGTAAGATGGGTACTGGCCCTGTATCCATTCTGGGTGCCTTATTTGCCCAGTATTTGAAATGATACTCCATCATTTTGGCTGGTTGGGTCATTTCAGTCTTCAGATTTCATATTGGGTTGTACCTAATCAGGTACTACTCAGACCCACAGGACTTAATGGACTTGAAGCTAGTCATGTCCATTAATTCCACTGGGACTGGGCAAGTGAATACCAGAAATTTTTGCTTTTATTGGAATTCTCTGACATCTTCACTTACTAGTGGCACAAACACTGGAAACCAAAGATGGCCTCTGATAATTTGGTGCAGTTGGAATATTTGGGGTGTATTCAGAATCACAGAATTGTAGAGTTGGAAGGGACCATGAGGATCATATAGCCCAACCTCCTAAAGTGCAGGAATCTTTCATCCAACATGGGGCTTGAACCCATGGCCCTGAGTTTAAGAGTCTGATGCTCTACCAGCTGAGCTATCTCAACTAACTTCTGCTCCACTGAAATGAATGGAGCTAGGTTAGTCATTAATTTCAATAGTTGTGACTTGCAGTGGATACAGCCAAGTCAACTAAGCTTCATTCAGAGTAGATCCAAGTTCGCAATACCCAATATTTTCAATGGGTCTACTCTGAGTTGGATTACATTGGCTAGAACCCTGCTTTATTTTCAACCACTTATACTGTGGCTTTTCTGTTCACAGCAAGCAGCTGACACAACTAGAGAAAACCAAAGGAATAGATACATTAAGAAATAAGCAAGTATAATGGTCATTCATCACAAAAACCTCTGCAGTGGCAGAAAAAGGGACACAAACACAGTAATACAAGGCAGAGGCTCACCAGGACAAAAACAAGAAGAAGAAGGAGATGACAGTGGAAAACTAGGAACAAGATTGGACCAGCCATGACTTCCTCCAAGGAAAACTGAGAATTGTAGTCTATTACGGGTGCTGATAGTTGTTAGGAGACCTCTACCTCTACTCCCTTCATAGAGCTACAATTTTCAGAATGGTTGAAAATCAATCCCTTTTCCTAGGGAACTCTGGGAAACACAGCTCTGTGGGGGGAATAGGAGTCTCCTAACAACTCTCAGCATGCTTAACAGACTAAAGTTCCCATTATTATTATTTTTTTTTGGGGGGGACTATGGTTGATTCAAGTGGTATGATGTATAGTGCAGATGGGGCCTTGTATAAACCCAAATCCAGAGTCTCTTCAGAGTCGAAGATGAGCCAATTTAACAGCTGTTCCATGATTTTGGGTTCTCTCAGCTAGACCACACTGTATCCAAGACCAATGTAGTCAACCACTTGCTAGAATTTGTTTTCCAACTCAAGGGAGTAGGCCCTGTCGATGGCCTATACTGGAAACAACCCTCTAGGCTCCATCTCATAATTTTCAGAAACATGAAAGCCCATTTTTCAAAAGTTGTGGATTTCTCTGTTGGTTAGCATGATTTGCAAGCAAATCCCATTGTATAAAAGCCCTTTTAAATATGACCACTTTTTATTTTAGTAGCTTGAGAATGTACCAGAACTTTCCACAATTTACAAAACATTCATAAAAGCAGGAGTGCTATATATGCTATATTACTCGAACTTTTATATTTCGGGGACTGGGGATGTAGGTGAAATTAGACTGGATCAGGCCTGAAAACAAGATATAGCAGCTCACCAGAAATAATGCAAGAGCACCCAAAGTAGACAAATTCTTCTCCAGAATGGGATTACCCCTTCTTTGAAAAAATCACCCTTTGGTAGACTGCAGTTAACAGGCAAAACTGTGTGAGGTGTATATCCTAGATCAGAATAGCTTGGCTTCAGTTGTTTTCCTGGGCTACTTCAACACACTCTACTTGGGGCTGTCCTTGAAGTCAGTGAGTCTACTCTGAGTAGGCCTTGGTTGGACTCAACTGTGCATTTCAATGTCTGAAAAGAGCCTACACTGGGTAACGTCTTTTCTGAAAATTCTCTTTATGGTGAGTTTTCTTTAAATAGATAAACCCAGCCGACCCCTGTTAACATTTAGTACAACTCACCACGTGAATTGGAGACCACTGCTTGCCAGAACTATTGATGAAGGGATTTCATGGTGTGATGGCTCCCCCAATGCACATGGTGAGTTCTTTTACATTTTATGACTCTCATGTGTATACCCAGTTTCAGTTATTATTATTATTTTTATATAAGCAATACTACTTGAAATTTCACTACTTCAGACTGCAGGCAAGGCATCACGTCAGTGAATGCTCCATGCATACAGAAGGCTAGTATATCAAGTGAAAGGACAACATGCTGCTTTTCTATGTGCAGCAGACTACTTGTGTATGTGTAGAGGAGCATGCATGCATGTTGAGCCCTCCACATATAGTCTGAAGTGCTGCAGAAGTGAGGAACCTGTGTCTATAACTCTATAACTTCTTGGACTCCCAACTCCTACCAGCTCACCCAGCATGGTCAAGAGGGTGGTCAAGGATGCTGGGAGTCCAGTGCTGCCTGCAGGGCCATTAAGATCCTCATACCTGCCCTAGACTCAGGTTCTCCATACCTGTGAGAACTAGGCCACAGAAGAGGGTTTCAGGAGGCCCAAGGGTTTTGAGAAACAGAGGCAGTCCTTTCCTTTTGGGGGGACACCAATTAGCCATGGTTTAGCATCCTTGATGATAATGCAAACCAAACACAGCCACAGCTGGGAGAATTTACTCACTAACGGCAGGGTTCCCGAGTCCCCCGAAGGCATTGCCGCTCACGGCTGCAAGGCTGGTGAACGTCGTGGGCCGATTAAATGTCTCTGAAACCAAATGGAAAGAGACTAATGGGAAGGGCGTTACCTATGATGGAGCATTTATGGCTAGATGTGTGTTACAAAGAAAACACAATGATCTATCCCAGGCTTCCTCAACCTCGGCCCTCCAGATGTTTTGAGACTACAATTCCCATCATCCCTGACCACTGGTCCTGCTAGCTAGGGATCATGGGAGTTGTAGGCCAAAAACATCCGGAGGGCCAAGGTTGAGGAAGCCTGATCTATCCAATGCAAGCTCGACTCTAGACCCACTGACATTGATGGACATGGCTAATATAGGTCAATGGGTCTATTCCAAGTAAAATTTAGGTGGATACAGCATTCTTCCCAGGGTCACCCATGGATAATTTGGGTAGGTGATTCCTTTAGGGTGGATGCCCTATTTTCATCCCAGTGTCCTGCCTCATAACCCCCAATATAAGAAAGAAGTGGCCTCTCCCCAGTTCTACCCAATATTGTCTCATAACGCTTATATCCCTTGAGTTCCACTCTGCTTGTTTCCTAGGAGGAACAGCAGATTTTGAAATGTCAGAAGTGGAATATGTGTGTGCACTCTCACTAAATAGCAAAGGCCTCGTTCTCACATAACGATAAGCTGCAGTCAGGAATAAACCCTGGGCAGTTTCCAGTACACTCATTCCAGTAGCACAAGGATTTACTCTTGCACAACAGAACCTTCTTCCCTCTCCGCCTCCACATATATGCTCCCCAAAATCTCTTTCAGCCCTTATTACAGAACAGGGGGAGGAAGGGGGGAATTCCAGGGATCTTTTAAACCAGGCAAAGGTTCTCCTATTGATTCTACTGGCAAAACTCATAATTTTTTTCTTTCCCAAAGAGGGCAATTGTAATCCTACAGCAGCTGCACGCAACCTTTGGCCTTTCAGATATATATAATCCTCACACCTGCCTCTTTTCCCCTGCTGGGTATTTTTTCCTCTTTTGGCTCTTTTTTAAAAAGTGTATTTTGTTTCACTCCCTTCTTTAAGGTGCTGCCCAAATGACTGTGAATTGAAGAACGACGTGAAAATAATATAAATTTAATAGCACTCCTGAATATGTGAATGTCACGAGATGCCCCCGCCCCCATGAAGTGTATCTGCAGGGCTGAAATGCAAAAGATGAAGCAGAATTTCCAGGACTAGGATTGCAGGGAAATAGCTGGACACTCAGACAAATTTCCTAATTATAAGAGCTATTTGATGAGAACTGATGGCCTCTGGAGATGGTGCGATCTCCTTCACTGTCGGCATTTAAATGGGGCGGGGGGGAGTGTCAGATTGATAAACCACTTTGGGAGTTGTAGCTCTGTGAAGGGAATAGGGGTCTCCTAATGACTCTCAGCACCCTTAAACTACAGTTCCCGGGGTTCTTTGGGGGGAAGGCATGCCTGTTTAAAGTGGTATGATACTGCTTAAAATATACAGTGGTACTTCAGGTTAATAACTTAATTCGTTCTGGAGGTCCGTTCTTAACCTGAAACTGTTCTTAACCTGAAGCACTACTTTAGCTAATGGGGCCTCCTGCCACCGCCGCTCCACCGCCGTGCAATTTCTGTTCTCATCCTGAAGCAAAGTTCTTAATCCAAGGTACTATTTCTGGGTTAGCGGAGTCTGTAACTGAAGCGTCTGTAACCTGAAGCGTCTGTAATCCGAGGTACCACTGTATGGTTTAGATGGGGTCTTAGAGGGAGCCCATGTTGTGGTGTCCTGATGCACTCTGGCTCCCTTCGGTCCCAGTCAGCATAGCTAATGTACAGCAACATCTGGAGGGCATTGTGTTGGCTCCTTCTGCACTAAATCATGTAAAAAATGCTCTCAAGGGTGATGGGCCCATTGGCACAGTTGCTTGGCAGCTTATTACAAGTTGGTAATGCCTACTTACCTAAATGAGCAGCAGGGTTGAGGAAGTTGCTGTGATGGGGGTGAGGGCCAAAAGGGGGTGCGGCTGGGTGGGCAGCACCTATCAGGACAAATTCAAAAGCAAAAATAAAACAACACTTGAATAGCAGGTTCAGAGAAGATACACAGTGCCAACATATCACAATGCTGAAAGCAGGTCCTGTCTTCTAGAACTGAGGGGTATACTGTATATCGAGACCTTCCCTTGTAGCCCAGTAAACAGCTTGATGAAAAATGGCTGACAAACGTGTTTATAGTCACTGGACGTCGTACACAGGTGTTTCTGGCAAAACTGGGATTGCATTCCAAATTTGGTTCACCTAGATGCTGTGTTGGTCTTGTCACCTGATCTCATGCAGATGTATCATTAGGACACTTCCAGCATGTCTCTCTACAGGAGGCTTTCGAGAGACTCCTTTGCTGGAAGTATTTAAGCAGAGGCCGGACTGCCCTCTGCCAGGGATGCTACACTCGCATTGCACATTGTAGATCCTGGGACAACCAGCTTTAAAGCCATGGTTATGCACGGTTCTGAAATTGCATGGGGAGTCTGCACAAGTTTGGAAGGCTCCTTGCGGCAGACATTCAGCTCCCCACACATAGAGGGTGGTGAGGCTTTGCAGAACGGGTGTGACTAAGGGTGTGGGCGCACTCTCACCCACACTTGATTCCAATTGGAAGTGGAGGGGAGCAGTGAATCATTGGAAAGATTTGCCTGCTCAGAGCTATCCAGGGTCCTGAAATTCCAGCCTGACCCTTCCTGACTAAGACAGCTTCAGGCATCCCCAGGGACTCGTAGTCAGGACAGATTATTCCTATGCATGTTTTCGGTTTTCCTTCAGAATTGCTCTGAGAAGACTGGCCACATTCCTTACTTGCTTTTTCCACCTTTTATTTAGTCACACAGCACACATGGAGTTTGCTCCCGAAGGAGGCAGTGACAACTACCAACTTGGATGGCTTTAAAATAGGATTAGACAAATTTGTGGAGGACAAGACTAACAAAGGCTACTAGCCATGATAGCTATGTTCTGCCTCCACTGTTAGAGGCAGCAATGCTTCTGAATACCAGTTGCTGGAAACTGCATGAGGGCAGAGGGCTCTTGTGACTGGGTCCTGCTTGTGAGTTTCCTCACAGGCATCGGCTTGGCCACCACAAGATGCAGAACTAGGTGGGTCTTTGGCCTGATCCAGCAGGCTTGTACTATGTTCTTCAATAATGGATCAGTGATATGCATACTCACTGGCTGCAGAGAAGAGAGTGGAGGGCCGAGCTAAGTCATGGGGATGGTGGATGGCCCCAAAGAGACTAGGACCTGGTGGCCGACTCAGAAATTCAGGTTTCAGGCCAAAATCCAGTTTATGGGGATCTGATTGCATCTGTTTCTGTAATAGGAAAAACAAACAGGAAACAAACCACAATCATGAACAAGACATTGGCCCAGCCCAGTGGAATGCTCTGCCAACAGAGATTAAGCAGATGGCTTTGGTTTTAGTTTTGAAACATCTGCTGAAAACTTTTCTATGCCACCAAGTTTATGCGTGGAATTAAGAAAATATCTATGGGTAAGAGTTGATCTTTGATTTTAATTTTTTACATGGCTTTTATTGTATGTATGTTTGAGGTAAACTGCTTTGATTAATTTTTTTTAATAGTAGCATACAAATATTTTTTATAAATAAATCAATAATGAGCAAAATACAGGGGAACATAAAGAGCTACCTTAGACTAGGTCAGACTACCTAGCTCTGCTCTAACTAGCAGTGGCTGTTGGGAAGCAAAGGGTCTTCTCCATCATCTGCTATGTGATCTAAGATGCCAAGGACTGGACATTGCACCTTACTATACAAAACACATGCTCTGGCTGTGTAGCTTTGGCCCCTCCCCCTAAACATGCTCCTTTGTATTCCCTTAGGAAGGTTTCACTTGCCCAAAGGGACTCACCTTCACTTTCTGTTGATGATGGTATATTTGCCAAGCAATATGGACATGCATAGCGCACCATTTTCCTGGTTTCTGTAAAAGAAGCAAAAACACAAGAGGCTATGAAAATGACACCACTTAGCCATAACAGTAAGATCTGAGCCTCTTCTCATTTAACAGCCATTACTTTTTACATTAAATGCCCTGCCTTTCTTCCATTATGAATCTTAAAATGGTAAAAATCTCGTGGTTGTAAAATCTCTCATGGTTGTAAAATCTCTCATCTCACTCTCATGGTTGTCATCCAGTCCAAGCCCTGGCCAGACCATGACCTGCTTTGCTTCAGTTGCACTATGTCAAGCACTTTCAAAGCCATGCACTAAGAAAATAATGAAACAGACTGAGCTGGTGAAGGAGACAATTCAGACATTAGAAGTGAGCATAGAGTGGTACTCTGCAAACCAGGAATAAGAAATCTGTAGCCTCCAGCTGTTGTGGGATTCCAGCTCTCATTAGGTCCAGCTAGTAATGGTCAATGACGATGAGGATCAAAGTTCAACCACATCTGAAGTGCCACTGGTCTACAGTAGATCCCTGTTGTAAAGCTCTTACTGATTTATTGGTAAGTGGGAAAGTGGAATCTGGCTACTTAGTGAGGTTAATTATATTATGCCCCTACATGACACAGTAAATTGACTTTCCCATGGGTCCGAATGCTGCATATGATTGGTGCTTCTATGGCTGCATTCATCTCATGTTTGCTTTATAAGAGGGAACCCTATCCTAAATGGCATTCCACATACACTCAAGTCAAAGTCCCAGTGAGACGACTTTACTGTATCAATGTGGCAAATGTTTGAATGCACACATCACGCTCCAATAATAATAATAATAATAATAATAATAATAATAATAATAATTTATTTGTACCCCACCCATCTGGCTGGGTTTCCCCAGCCACTCTGGGCGGCTGCCACAGAGACCAAAAATACACTAAAATCCAAGTCTTCAGTAGTTAAACATTTTGTTGTGGGGATGCAATAAGCACACTTTTATAAGGACTTGGCAAAAATGTGAATTTTGTGAATGGGGTGCATCTGCACATTTCTGCCTTTTCCAGAAAGGTGATACATTCATGTTCCATATCCTGACATTGCAATTCTACTCAGTGTACCCTTGAGAAAGGCAAGCTCAAGTTCTCCTAATCTTAGCTATGAGTCCTGGAAGACCTGCTCCCTGCCTTGCAGGCCTTTTCCCACCTGGGAGGGCAGGTTCCTGACTGACTCCATCTACAAAAGCTGAGGCTGCTGAACAGACCCTTAGGTTGGGGTATTGTTCGAAGGGGGTTGTTGCTGATATTGATATTAATTTTTTGCATCTTTAATCTTTAGATCTTACTGTGATTTATGTGGAAATGGTTCAATTTGATTGTGTATTTTTGGATGCTTTATTTATTATTTATTACATTTGTTACATTGTAACTATGCATTTTTTCATGTTGTAAGCCACCTTGAGCATGGTTTTAACAATGGAAAGGTGGCGTACAGATAAAATTACGTATGCATATTTATATGTATGTATGTCATCAGTTCTTTCCAACTGGATATACAACCTTTAAAATGGCCTAATAACCAAGCAGCTCTCCTTATTCCAAGTTTCACTCTCATCTTCCACATGCAACCTCTGTTCTTATGAGGCTGTTATAAGCTGGACATAATACGAATCCTACCAGATTTGACCAAAAGCCTATCTAGCCCTACATATTGCTTTTCACAGTGGCCAACGAGATGCCTCTTGGAAGCCAAGAAGCAAGATATGAACAGTCACTCCCCAGCACCTAGGGAGGGGTTTTGGACTACAACTCCCATCACCCCAAGCTAGCAGGACCAGTGGTCAGGAATGATGGGAAAGACAGACAGACAGAGGTCAACCAAGACTTAGTGGCCTTCTTACCCTCAGCATAGGTCTGAAGGGATCTGTCAACTGCAAAGAGAAAGAAAGAGACATAGTCAATAAAGGAAACCTTGCCACTCAAACAGTTGCTCATCTAATCTGCATTGCTTCACTTGGGAGAATGGAAATTAAAATATTAGCATTTTCATTTCGCTTGTAGTCTCTTTCAAAGTCTTAGCAGGCATGTTGCTTCATCTTGACCAGGTGTGGGGAGGTTTTTTTACTCTCCAGATGTTGCAAATTGCCGCTCCCATCATCCCTGGTCATTGGGGTTGATGGGAGTTGTAGTTCTGCAACATCAGGAGGGCTGCAGGTCCCTACACCTGATCTTAAGGGTAAATTACTCCCACGTTCACTCTTTTCCATCTCTGCGCCTCCCTGTTGTAAACAACAACTCCCACCACCCGTGACCAGTGGTTCTCAACCTGTGGGCCCCTGATGTTGTTGGACTACAACTCCAATCATCCCTGAGCTCTGGCCTTGCTAGCTAGGGATGATGGGAGTTGTAGTCCAACAACATCTGGGGACCCTCAACCTGTGGGGCCATGCTGGCTGGTACTGATGGGAGTTAGGAGTCTAACAAGATCTGGAAGGACACAGATTCCCCCTCTCTGCTCTGCGGGATTTATGCTTCCAAGTGTTGACAACCTACCAAACATGCCCCGCAAGAGGCATTCTGACCTGGAGTTTGCCTGCTAATTCACTCAATTTAGCACTGTAAAATGGGAAACAGTGCAGTAATTTTTTTTAAAGTGACCTTTTGATGGACCTTTTGAAGATACAGAGGAGGGCAGTATTTTGGAAGAGGCTTACTTTTCCATACACAATTGCTAACAGAAAAAATTCAGTAACTATTACAACAGGAGGAGCAACCCTCTCCCCTCCCCCATTTTGTTGGACCATAACTTCCATCATTTCTGAACATTATGAGGGGTCTGATAGGAATTTGAGTGAACCACAATTTTGTTGGACCTCAACTTCCATCATCTTTGAACATTATAGGAACCTTCACTCAGCAACACCTGGAGGACTCCACTTTGGTTAATGCTGGACTGCACATACCCCTCCTCTTTTAAAACCAGCTCCGAGTCACCCAATTATAAAAAAGCAAGTCAAATGATACAGACTGGTATAGACTGGTTGCTCTGTGGTGCAGATTTTCACACTGGAACAAATGTGGATAAAAAGGATTCATACAAAAATACTTTTTGACTCCCTTCCCACCCCCTCAAATCCATTCAAACCCATGCTGAATGGGAGGGCTCATCTTGGGTCACAAGAAGAGGCCTTTTCTAACCCTGCTACCTGAAACGTCATTTAATTAGAGGTGTCAATGAGTCTTCCCAAGACCATACATGGTCAGGTGCTCCACATCGCAGATGGCTAACATCATCATCCTGACCCTGACTTGAAGACATCTGGAGGACAAAAAGTGTCATCTGTGGAAGTGCTGAACCTAAACCCAGACCTCAACACTGAACCTGAGCTGAAGTGTGTCAACCTTGACCCTCTCCCTAAAGCAGAAACCCCTGGAGGCAGAAACCCATAAGACAGAGTCTCCCAAGAGCATTATGCTGTTCAAAGCCTGCAAACCTTTGAAAGAAACGCAGAAGGCTGAGATGTAAGAACCTCTAGGTCACCTTTAAGCCTTTCTGCTATTCTCAATGTGGGTGGAGTCTTGGAGGTGAAGACTGATCCAAGAGCAATGAAACACCTCGGCTGATCTCTAGATGTAATCACAACACCCTGTCTGCTTGGAGCTATCTGTAGTCCTGATACAGTGGTACCTTGGGTTAAGTACTTAATTTGTTCCGGAGGTCCATTCTTAACCTGAAACTGTTCTTAACCTGAAGCACCACTTTAGCTAATGGGGCCTCCTGCTGCTGCCACACTGCCGGAGCATGATTTCTGTTCTCATCCTGAAGCAAAGTTCTTAACCTGAAGCACTATTTCTGGGTTAGCGCAGTCTGTAACCTGAAGCGTATGTAACCCGAGGTACCACTGTACTATAGTCTTATGCTCTCTGGCACCCTCAGGTTATCTATCACACCCTGTGCACTCCCACTCACAGCCAGCCCACTTAAGGTCCATGAAAGTTAGACCCTGTGCTTTATGTTTTCCAAATTCCACACTTTCTCAATTTAAGCTCAGATCAAATAGCAATAAAGGGCAGAGTTAGGATAACCACCTCAGCTTCATTCATCATTCAATGGTTTAATGACCCTTGGTTTGAAGGGGCTGTAACATTTTAGAACTTACCCTGGGATCTTTCTGCAGTAGGGTGTGTGGAACAGCTCCAGGTCTCGCTGCAACATCAATAGGATTCGAAGTCTACAAATGTCACATACACAGAAACAATGGCAGTGTAAATTTATGTGCAAACTTTTAAACTTTTAGAAGACCCCAAAAGAATTAGTTAGGCAGTAAATGAGGGTCTCCATAAAAAAAGAAAGGAACTGAAGATTATGTATCCATCTATTCATTCAGTTACAGAAGATGGAAACCTGGTGCCCTCCAGATTTAAGGACTGCAACTCCCATCAGCCTCTGCCAGTATGGACAATGGTCAGGAATGATGGGAATTGGAGTCCTGAAATATCTGGAGGGTCAAAGCTCCAAACCTTTGGACTACAGTTTCACATACTCTGAAATGTCATTTCCAGGGTGCCTTGCCTTGGTGCACACAGTCATAATTTCTGTCCTAGGTTAAAGACTGTCCTAGGTTAAAGACCTCTTAAAATGAGTCATAGATCTGTTTAGCTTTAGAAAATGAGATCTTGGCTTTTTACGTTTCATCATGTTTTCCTGTTATATTTGTAAGTATTCAAATCTGTTCTTTTTGTGTGTTACAAGATGCCATTGAACAGCCTTAACTGGTGAAAAACCCATCACTCTCTCACTGTTGCACAAAGCAAGCTAGTAAGATGCACACATGTCTTCTATCAGTTTCTTCTTTTCTAACCCGACAAACAAACTATGTTGTCTTCACAGGTTTTCAATTCTCAGGTGTTGCTTCTGCAAAGGGCTCACAGTTGTTGTTGGAGAGAAGCCTCCTCCCTCTGTTGAGGTGATAATGCATGCCGCAGAGTACCCACTCTAACACACACACACACCTCAACACTATTCACACTGTGCCTTGCTTATTTATTTTCCAGGTCCGAAAGCAAATATACCCTTGAACCACTAGGAGTCCCCTGGAAGCACTTTGAGTATATCTTCTGACAGCACCTCCTGGATCACAACTTCCAGCATTACCTACCACAGTACCGCCCATGCTAGGGTTTTTTGGCCAAAGTTGTGGAGCTTTCTTTTGCAAAATTGCAAAGAAATTGAACATTTCTTAGCTATTTCTGAGGAAAATTGGCAAAAAAATGAAACAGCCAACATGGGCTGCCATACGTATGGATTTTCCTGGACATTTCACCAAATTCTGCTCTGACACTGCTTGCGGATGCAGTGTTCAGGGTATCCCATACAAATTTCCCGGACGTATGGCAACCCTATAGCCATCCAGCAGGGTGGGAAGTGGATTCCAACCAGAGCTGATGGCCTTCCATTCACACAGAAGCAAGGAGCATAATAAAAAATACAGGCTCACTGATAGTGCAGGTGAGAAGGGAGGGAATGCCAAGCTGGAGGTGGGGGTTGGGAAAGGGGAGTCAAATGGAATATTGCTGGGATAAAAATCCAAGCTAGAGAGGGACAGTGTGAGGGACAGGAGCTGAACAGTGAACAATTTGGGTTTGCACCAATAAAGGGGGTCAGAGAGAAGGGGAAGCAGCTCGTATCCAGACAGCTGGATGTAGCTGTGGGTACTGAAATAATTTCAAGTGTTGGGAAACAGCAGAACGTTGGGGCATATAGAGAGCCAATGAAAGGGGAACATAAGACCATGAGCCCTGCTGGATCAGACCAAAGGTCCATCTAGCCTGGCATCCTGTTATCACAGTGGCCAACAAGATGCCAACTGTCCTCTTCCAGAAAATGGCTGAAGGTCTTGGCAACCTGACTGAGAATGTGGATAAGGGTTTGAAACAGATGGAACACATAATCCATCAATCCCAAACTGTTGATTTTGACATCAGTAGAGGCAGATGTCTCCATTCACAAAGTAAGAATCACCAAAACCTTCTTTCCAGAACAGAGCTTTATAATGTAGTCATGAGAATGTTAAAAACTGACTTGCGAAGAACCCCACACAACATTTAAAAAACATCAGCCATACACGCAGCCAAATACTAGTAGATGGTTAAGCTCAAATGGATTCTTAATAGCCTAATTATCATACATATGAGGACCTTTACTAATGAACCACAATCTACATATTTAAGAAGCTTGAGTGGTGGAGTGGGGATAGTTTTCAGATTGGACAAACACAGCTCAACATCTAGCCTCAAAAGATTAAATTTAAAATACACTGGTGAACAATGAGGATTGCAGTTCTTTAAGCAGAATGCATAAGACTGACGTCAGTCTACCCCTGGGCTGAGAAATACAATACCTGGTATAAAAGAGCAGAAACAAATAGTTTAGAACATCCCTGAATACCTTGAGTTCCATGATAGAAGAAAGGGAAGATATAAAATGAAAGAATGGAAGATTGTATCACATGTTCATAAGTGAACATTTTCAGATGAAAAGATGCTTTTTCAGGGCTCCTAAAATGCCCCCAGGGAAGTTTTACTGCCTAATTTTGTTTACTGCTAATTCTAGGCCGCTGCTTCAGCCCAAAGTATGCCCCCACTCTACCAGATTTTGGTTCTTCTGTGCAAATGTAGCTAGTCAATCAGCAATCACATTGAAAATGTAATGACAAAACAGCCCAAAAGTTTTTCTAACTGGGCCAACATCACCAAGAAGTGTAGACTTTCCAAGGTATGTTTTGTTGAGACTTTGCCAATCGGTGGGGAACCTGTGATTATCCAGATGTTCTTGGAAACCAAGTCCCATCATCCCCAGCCAACATAGCTAATGGCTAGGGATTATGGTGACTGCAGTCCAGTAAGGCCCCAAGGTACTTCACCACACCTCTGATATAGGCCTTTAAAAGCAAGAACCAGCACCTGGAAGCCTACCGGAAAGCAAGTATCAACATACCTCTCCACCCCGCCTCTGCCTCCCCTGCCGCCTCAGTAAATGAGAGTGAATCAAGGGAACACATGATGAAGGTTCATGCAGAGCTCTTTTCAACTGATTTGCCTATCATCCCCAAGAGAGTTTGAGTCCCAATCAAGCTCAAAGGAAACTCTGGTATTTTGTGCCCCACATTGACCTAGGGAGGAAATGCCTTCCTGTAGACTCATTCATCTCTCCCAGCAGAGCCATCTCCAAAACCAAAGATGGGGAACATTTGGACCTCCAGGCTACAACTGGACTACAGCTCCCAGCAGCCTCAGCCTGCATAGCCAACAGTGAGGGGTAATGAGAGTTGAAGTCCAGAAGCATCTAGAGCAGCCTTTCTCAACCTGTGGGTCCCAGATGTTGTTGAACTACAACTCCCATCACCCCTCGCTAGCAAGGCCAGAGCTCAGGGATGATGGGAGTTGTAGTCCAACAACATCTGGGGACCCACAGGTTGAGAACCGCTGATTTAGAGGGTCACAGGTTCCCCATGCAGGCCCAACACAAATAAAAGTGCTGCTCCTCACGAATACACCTGGGACTGCAAGAGACCACAAAGCCACATGTCCAAAATAGGAAAGAGTCTACACAACACACACAAAACATATTTACAATTTACCTTGGGTTGAAACGCCCCTTGTAGTGAGCCAAAAGGACCAGTTGGAGGAATCATTGGAGGGATCCCTGATACAGCAGGAGGGTACGAGTGGAATAACTGTGACAAAGGGAGGATAACATCAGCAAAGGACCCCACACACATTTTCTAATTGCACATCATGCAATTTCAACTCAGAAGAAAGCAAAAGAGACACGGAGGCAGTTTATGAATTATGCAGTTCACATGATTGCTGCTGTTAATCAGTCAGTGATCCAACTGCATAAAAATCAATGCTGGACCACTGATGTTGGGTACTTGGTAAAAGAGGTGGCGATAAGCCTAGGAAAAAGACAAAGGCATCTGACAACAGCAATGAATAAGGGATATAAAGGACATTCACAAAATGTTAGACGACAAGATGAACAGATTTGTGTGGAAAGAACAGATTATTTGAAAGCGTAAGGGGTAGAGAGCTGTCTCAGAATGGATTTTTATAATGAGGGTTATTATTATACTATAGTATAATACTGCATTACAGAAAAAAGAGAGGATGCAATGGGAAGGTACTGGAGCAGAAACGTGATCTCATTGTCAATTGCATTAGTTGTAGCAGTTAAACAACAGGAACAAAGGAAGCTGCCTTAATATTGAGCCATGAGACTATAAGAAGAGCCTGCAGGATCAGGCCATTTCTCACAGTGGCTAATAAAATGCCTCTGGGATAAGCAAGAATGACCTGAGTGCAACAGCACTTTCCCCGTCTGTGGTTTCCAGCACTGGAATTCAGCCTTCAACAGTGGAGGTAGAACAGAGCCACAGATAGCATGGGCCTCCATGAATTGGTCTAATCCTCTTTCAAAACCGTCAAAGTTGGGGGCCACCCCCGACTCTTGTGGGAGCAGATTCCACAGCTCAACTGTGTGAAGAAGTAATTTGTTATCTGGTTTGAGTCTTCCAACTTTATTTCATGGTCCATGAGTTCTAGGGTTCTGAGAGAGCATAATTTTATAAACTCCTATCATGTCTCCTCTTACTCCTCTTAGTACTTTCTGTAAATTCAGATGACCCTAATGTTGTAACATTTCCTCAGAGGGCAGTTGCTCCATCCCCTTGATCATTTAGATTGCCCTTTTCTGGTCAAACCCTTGGCTCTATCGAGCTCCAGGGTCTCGCCCTGAAGTCTTTCCTAGTTCTGTCTGGAGATGCTAGAGATTCAGCCTGGGACCTTCTGCATGCACTGAGTGGTGGCCCTACCCAACATTCACCACAAGGCATGGGTAGGACGTTAACAGAATCCAATATGGGATGCATGCCAATAGTGGTGTGGTCAAAAGTGGGTGCAACCAGAGGGCACAACCTCCCGCCCACCCATACAAACATCACACACACACACAAAAATGACATACACACAGGTAGTTTGCATCTTATGCTTATTTTACTTACCCAATTGCAGCTTTGCATGGGGGTGGGGTGGGATAAATAAATAAATAAATGGAGAGCAGAGCAAACTCATTTTCCATTTACTTATTCCCCCTCCCCTGAACTGTGCAAAGCTGCAGTCATGAGCTTACCCAGCTGTGAGAAGGCAGTGTGCGGGCTCTGGCAGCATCCCAGAGCCCTTGCACCCCTTCGTCAATTTACCTGAATTGCCCTAAAGCAGTTTGGCTTGGGAAAAGCCTTTGGCCAACAGATGAGGCCTTTTTCTACAAAATCTCAGTGCAATTCCTTTGCAAATGTACGTATTCCACTGGCTCATGATGCCTGCCTGAGCCAAAGATCTAAAAAAGCACAATAGTCTGTTTCATTGTATTGTTCCATGAGGTGCACCTAAGCACACTGAAGCATCTCTCTCTCTCTCTCTTTGCAATTAACATCATTAAGAAAATGCAATAATTTTAAGGCTTTCACTGGACCACCTGGCCCAGTTCCTCTCCCCACTCCTTTCATAGATCATTGCCGTCTTTTAATTCTATTTCGCTTCAAAGTGAGCTTCCAATGGTGCAGAAAACGTTTCCAAGATTAGATGATATTGAATAGCGGAGCTCTCAAGAACCCATTAGGCAGGCAAGCGTCTTGGGTTGCAATCACTTTTTAATACTGAAAACGAGCATGTTAAAGACTCTAGCATCCATAACGCTTACTGTTCTGTATTAACATGCCAGTTCACAAAAGCGAAGGGAAGTTAGAAATTTCATTGTATGCTGGTTGTTAAAATATAGACGGTGGGAAAGGATGGAGACCTTTCAGAGTGTCTTGGAACTGCCACTGCTGCTTGAAGGCTTGGATTCCCATCTTGTCAACAAAGTAGAGAGCTATCAATGTCCCATCTTAGCTGGGCCCCAAGTTGCAGGACAACTTTTAAGTAACACAGCTTCTGTAGGTTCAGGAAGCACCAACAGCCAAGGCCAGACCAAGATCCCATCCCAGGCAAACTGGGGCTCAGGTGAGGGCTCAGACAAGAGAAAAGTTGAATGGCAGCCCAAGGTCCACTTGCAGGCACGCAGGCAGGCAGGAAGTTTGATGCAAGGGACATACAAATACATCCCAACAGCTTTTCCAGCCTGGTGCTGAGGCTCTTGAACTGGAGCTGCCAGAAGCACACCCAGGGTGCAGCTGAACTCCATCTTCTGTTGTCAAAAGAGAGGTGTCATCATGAAGAGGACCTTATTTGTGAGGAGATCTTGACTCCTGAGGAGTCTTCTCCTGAAAACTGGATGTCTCCTCATGGGAACATGTTTCCACCTGCTATTTAAGGTACTGTTTCTTCTGGGCTGGTGGCCAGTTCAAGTCTCAGTTTCTGAGTCTGAATTGCCTCTGCTTGGCATTCTAGTAAAAAGGCTTCACCCTGTGATCTGGTGGATCAAGGATAGCAAGATCTGTCCCTCTGCAGCCTGCCTGAGTAGAACTCCTTATAGCAATTAGTTGAGTTGTTACCTGCAGAACTGCTTTACCTGTCAATAGCTAGATTAATCCTTTAAAATCCTCATCACCTCTCTCTCTCTCTCTCTCTCTCTCTCTCTCTGAAGAAGGAATGGAGAAACTGTGGCCCTCCAGTTGTGGCCAGATTCCTTGCCCTGTGAAGCTTGGTCCCACCACTACAATTGCCTTCCACTGGCTGACAAAGGCTTTAATGGTTTAGCAGGTTTTTAGTTTTCCCGGTAGACGACCTTTTATTTGAGATTTGCTTTTAATTATTTATTAAAGTATTTTAAGCCACATTTCAGGGTACATTAGTAATACTTGAAAGAGCGTCTCCACCCCCAGCATTCAGCCCGGACAGGTCCAGCTCCGAGGCCCTTCTGGCATTTCCCTCACTGCAAGAAGTGAGGTTACAGGGAATGCCCTCCCATCAGATGTCAAGGAAATAAACAACTATCTGACTTTTAGAAGACATCTGAAGGCAGCCCTGTTTAGGAAAGTTTTAAATGTTTGATGTGCTTTTAATTCTGTTGGGAGCCGCCCAGAGTGGCCGGGGAAACCCAGCCAGATGGGCGTGATGATGATGATGATGATGATAATAATAATAATAATAATAATAATAATAATAATAATAATTGTTATTATTATTAACCAACCACATTTTAAAATGGCCTCGTTTTTGTAGATTGTTCCTAACTTTTTAAAAAAATGTTTTTAATTGTTCTCAACATGGTTTTTTAATATTGTTTTAATATTTTTACATTTGCCACCCTGGGCTCCTTTGGGAGGAAGGGCGGGCTGTAAATTTAATAAATTTAAATTATGCAGTTAAAGAGGGGGAATAGCATTCTTTAAATGAAATAACATAATAACCATAGTTAAAAATACAGATGCCGTATGGTTCCCTGAATCACACTTTCAGCATCTTGTGTTAAGAAAGCACATTCCAAACCGAAGGTAAAAACCCCGACAAATGTTTTAAGAAAGGAAGAAAAAGGAGCAATTCTACTTTGCCAACAAATTTAGACCATAATACCTCTTGATCTGGCCCATTAAGTGAAATCCACTGGTTAATGCATTTTTAATAATATGCCAGTTAAAAGTTTCAAGTGCTTTAATCTTGTAGCTTTTAACCTCTGTTAACCGTTGAAATGGAACAAGCCATCAGGTTAGATACATCTGAGGCAATGAAAGAGAAACACAAATGACCTAACACTCATTTGGATTCTTTCTGTGATTTCTCACCTATTGGAGAAAGGGAGGGTGTATAACCATTTAGATCAACCATAAAGCTTGGCTTTCAGGGTGCTGTCAATTCCTTAAGGTTCATTTGGCACAAAGGCCCCAAGGTAGATATCTGTGCCTCTTCAGGCCTGCACAAGGATCTTGCATGTGCCTGGAGGTGCTCTACTCCTCTGAGTGAAGGGAGATCATATGGGCTGAATGAATCAATTCATTTGGGACTTGGTGGTGTTGTGGTCTAAAGGGTGGCGGTTCAAATCCCCACAACAGGGTGAGCTCCCGCTGCTCTGTCCCAGCTCCTGCCAACCTAGCAGTTCAAAAGCATGTCAGCGCAAGTAGATAAATAGGTACCACTGTGGTGGGAAGGTTTCCGTGTGCTCTAGTGTCTGTCACAGTGGTCTGTTGCGCCAGAAGCAGTTTAGTCATGCTGGCCACATGACCCGGAAAGCTGTCTGTGGAAAAATGGTGGCTCCCTCAGGCTAAAAGCAAGATGAGTGCCACAACCTCATAGTCGCCTTTGACTGGACTTAACCGTCCAGGGGTCCTTTACCTTTTTACCTTCATATCAGGGCAAAGACATTCCTACAGAAAATCAACCCTAGGTCTTTGCTGTTTTACTGTGGTGTTAAGGTAAGCTGCAAATATTTTTATGTGGTCTTTGTTAGAAGGAAAGTTTTGCTGTTGTTAACTTTATTTGGTTAGTTTTCATTATTGCATTTTGTATTTTTCTTTATGAGGTTTTGCATGATGCCCAGATAATTTTTCTAATGGGAGGCCATATAAATTTAACAAATCTTTCAAAGCACTTCGCATTTTTTTAAAATACCAAAAATGCCATTTAAAACCAATATTTTAGTGTGTTTTTCTCCTAAGAAACATTTTTTTTTGCATGCTGTTTTGACATTTTTACATGCAACTTACCCCAATAAAATGCATTTTGTATGCTATTTTCAGTAATACAGACCTTTTTATAATACTTTCCCCCATTGCTGTCAAGTGTCCCTTATTTGAAGGGACAGTCCCTTATTTCAGCACCATGTCCCGCTGCTGTCCCTTATTGATAGATGTCCCTTAAATGTCCCTTAAATGATGTCCCTTAAATTTCAAAGGAAGCAGCTCCTCTCCCTCCCTCCCTGCTGGCCAGGGAGGAGGGAGGCTCCAATTGTGTTGCTTGGCTGTGTTGCTCACCCAATAAGAAGTCTAAGAACGACTGGGGGGTGGAGCGTGCATGTCTTGTGTGTGGCTAGTTAATGCAAGCTGAGGGGGGTTTTGAATGCTGGATGCCATTTTGTTGCACGTGCCGCTGCAAACTTTGCAGTGCAAAGGCAGGCCAGGGAGCCATCTTAAGTTGAGGCTGCATAGGCCTTGTGGTGCATGTGATTCAGATTCTATTCAGCTGAACCTCTGGTTACAAAGTTGGTTGGACAGTGTTCTCGAAGCTACCAGCATGAGTTTGACCAGACTGCTGGAGGACAGGAAGACTGGAGTGCCTGGAACAGGTGAGGCTGCAGGTCCCTTATTTTGGCTGCTGGTCCCTTATTTTCAAATCTGTAAGTTGACAGCTATGCTTTCCCCATATTATATACATTCTTGTACATGTTGCTTTGTTGGAAAACTGCATTACAAAATTCAGAGAACTGCGAATTTCAAAGGTAAGATTGTTTCGGTTTGCACATAATTTGAAGAAGTGTGAATTAGGTAGTTTCTCATTCAAATGCAAACAAATCCCTCATCAACCCAGGACTTCATATATCTTCATTACCACATTGGAAGCTAGAGAAATGGTCACAAAGATCTGCTTGTGCCATTGAAATGAGCAGAGAAGACAGCAATAGCAGAAAGAATTTGGGCACCTTTGTAGTCTCCAGTCCCTGATTAAAGAGCTAGATTTAGGCATAGCTTCAGAGTTTGCTTTTTCTTTTTAAGAGATATCACATCTTTCACAAGACGAAAAGCTAAAGCAAATGACAATATTGATGATGGACATTTTAGAGTGATGGACAGAAAGGGAGAGGGAGAGAAACAGAAAATGGGATGTTCTGCCACTGATCTGAGTGGTGATCTCAGCCCAGCAATGGGAAAAGAAGCAATTAATACATTTTAAGGCAGTAAGAAGAACTCACACTGTGTCGGTAGAAAGGGTCAACTTTTGTAGGGTATTTGTCAAACTGCAAAAAGGATCAAAACACAAACTCATTATGCTGTTTTTCTAATGGGGCATACATTTCTTTGATTCAGTCAATGGTTGGGAACTGGTGAAAAAACTGGAAATCGATGGAGATGTGGGGAAAGGGGAGGATATACTTAAAAATGGCAGGTGTTCAGAGTTGAAATTATGGACAGCAGTGAGAGCAGGAAGAGATCAGGAGCAATTTGGATAACAAAAATTCCAGGTGCAAATTAAGTAGAATGATTGGGACCAACAACATAATACTACAATATATTCCCTACATAACAGGACTGCTTCTGACCAGTGTTCCAGCCAGCCATTCCCTGCAAGGAGGACATTTTCCCTGGTCCCTCTCCCCACCCTGTTCCATTTTCCCATTTAATGTTTTTCTTTCCAATCTGTCACTCATTTGCCTGCATCTTTTTTTTTTTATGTGTGTGTATCTGCCTGTTCCCAAACTCTGCAGTTCCCTGAGCATACTGACAGCTCCTTCATGTTTCTCAGTGAGTCCATTTGTACTCCATGTCCTCCAACACTCACCACTTGAGCTTGCTATCAGAGGGGAAAGGCCATGGGTTCCTGAGGCCCATATACCTCTTTTCCACCTCTTTACTTAGGCAAACAAAGCAGTGATACCAGCAGACTGAGGTTCATTCCACACTAGTCCCTCCACCCTGTGAAATATCATCATTTCCTCACTCACCCTTTAGGAAGAATGCACCTGCCATTACCGAATGGCTGTATATCAGTCTTTTCTTCTCATCCTCCCCCTCCCCCAAGCCTGATTTCCGACCATTTATTTTGGCAGTAAAATGCAATCGCAATGTCCAGTGTGGAACAGCAGTATGAAATAATCAAGACATGGCAGAGTTACTGTGCTTTTAACTGAAAGCTTCCTGTTCTGCAAGTTTGCTGCTTACGTTTTCACTGCAGCTAGAGCATGGCGTCTCCAACATGGCGTGGAGCTTGGCATGGTGGGAAGATGCCAAAGGAGTGGGGAACTGGAAGATGCCAGGGATTGAACCTGTGAAGTTTATTATGTTCTACCTCTGTTCCATGGCTCTTCCTCAAGAGTTTAAGCTTGGTCCAGAACGAAGGGATCTGTGTTCTGAAACATCTTCAGAGCTCTAATAAATTCTATTAGTAGGCACCAATCAGTAAATGCGGTGGGGGAGGGGGGCAGCCTGAGTTGCACCCACTAAGTGTTTCTGTTGCCTTTGAGTTTAGTGGAGGACACTGCCCCACTGCCTGTTTGAAGTAAGACTCGGATGCCAGTCAACCAGATGGCCATCAACCCTCTGGGCCGATGTCGCTCACACATTGTGCCACATTGTCAGTACTGCCTTCCATGCCAAAACATAGAAAGCAATTACATTAGAAAGGAGGGTTCAAGTTTAGCTTTAGGCCCTCACTTTCAATCTGCACCACATTTTTTGCAAACAAGGGGCGGGGGTGGGGAGCCACATGCATGGGAGCCTCTAGATTCTGACACAGAACTTCCCAGAAATATCAAACGTTTCTCACTTTCCGAATTCCCCAAGTCGCAAGGCGGGAGGAGCATGCTTCCTTCCTCCCAGAATCTCTTCCTTCACCCGAACATCTTCCCCCATTGACACAATTTTATCACCCTTTTGCAATAGGAAAGAAAAAGATCCAAAGAGAGTTGTGCTCTACTTATCCTCACATTTCTGCCTGGGGTACGCACCATGGGAGGTGCCGGCGTTGGCATGATGGCGGTGGGCGGGATGGCGTGGGGGAAAGGTGTGAAAGTGTGCTGGTGCGTATGTTGGTGGGTGTGCTGGTGCTGGTGCTGATGCTGGTGGAACTCCGTCCTCAGGTAAGGCGGTGGGCCCAGCGAGGCGCCGCGGTCGGCACTCTGCGAAGCCAGAAATCGGGTGTTCAGCTCCTGGCGGAGAAGATCTTGCTCTGAAAACCAAGACAATGGAAACATGAGGTTTTATCCTTCTGGTTTAAATACCGCTCAGTCTTTCCTTTTTCCTTTTTTTTTGGGGGGGGGGGGGGAAATCACACTTCCACAATGTGCAATTGATCTTTGTTAATAGATGGATGTTTCCCTTCATCTCTGTTCCTCCATTAGTGCCAGCATGAGGATGGGGAACCTATGGCCCTCTATGTACTGATAGACTCCCACATGAAACAGCAGCCACCGGCATGGACAATGGTCATGGAGTTTGTTGGACAGCAACATCCGGAGGGCCACAGATGCCTCAGCCTTGTGCCAGAGTAGAGTTTCCCAAACTTGCGTCTCCAGCTGTTTTTGGACTACAACTCCCACCATCCCTAGCTAGCAGGACCAGTGGTCAGGGATGATGGGAACTGTAGTCCCCAAACAGCCTGGGACCCAAGTTTGGGAAACCCCGTGCTAGAGGAAGAACAGAATAGCTTGCTTTTCTGTTTTAAATTCTCCTACTGGAATTTGATACAACCTGCTTGCATTAAACATGTCCAAACCAAAATTTAAGAAGGATACGTATTGTGGGTGTGGACAGACTTCTGGCTTGTCAGATCGATTCTTGGGTTTTTTGCCCCTGTAGAACCCTAAGATCTCCCAGCCAGAATAAGCAGTGGTGGCTGGTGCCCATCTGGGCTGGTAGGATCATCAGTAACTGTAGCTGAAGCCAATGGCAGGCAGAACCAACTAATTCCAGTTTTTTCTCCATCTTCATCCTCTCTGCTGAGTTCTCCAAGGACAACACTGAGACTTAGGAGAAGGATGCAGACAGCCAGGACCACACACTGGGTTGTTTGTAAGTAAGAAAGCGGGCAGGTGGCAGCAGGCTGTGGGGAGACTAGTGATTTGGTCATGGAACTCCATTCATCCTTATGAATCAGCTCCCATTGCTGAGATGGGTTCCTCCTTCCTTCCCCTCTTACTCCCCCCTCCCAACTCATCTCTCTAATTCCCTTCCACCCCCCTCTCCATCCCTCTCTCCCAGAATGCACTATCCCTGTGTGTATTTATGTGTATGTGTGTGTGTGTGTATGTGTGGGATGCGGGTGGCGCTGTGGGTTAAACCACAGAGCCTAGGACTTGCTGATCAGAAGGTCGGCGGTTCGAATCCCTGCAATGGGGTGAGCTCCCATTGCTCGGTCCCAGCTCCTGCCAACCTAGCAGTTCGAAAGCACGTCAAAGTGCAAGTAGATAAATAGGTACCGCTCCAGCGGGAAGGTAAACGGCATTTCCGTGTGCTGCTCTGGTTCGCCAGAAGCGGCTTAGTCATGCTGGCCACATGACCCGGAAGCTGTATGCCGGCTCCCTCGGCCAATAAAGCGAGATGAGCGCCGCAACCCCAGAATTGGTCAGACTGGACCTAATGGTCAGGGGTCCCTTTACCTTTACCTTTTATGTATGTATGTATGTATGTATGTATGTATAGAATCGTAGAACTGCAGAGTTGGAAGACACCACAAATGCCATCTAGACCAAACCCTGCAATGAAGGAATATTTTGCCCAACCTGGGGCTCAAACTCACGACACTGAGATTTAAGAGTCTCATTCTCTACCAACTGAGCTATGTAGCCCCATTGCATAAAGTATCTAAGTATATGCACACTCTTACCTGAGTAAGCACTTCCAGCAGGATGACCTGGAACTTGCAATGTCCCTGACGTCAGAGGAGGAGGAGGGGGCAATGCCGTGGGAGGGGCAAACATATTGGGGTGATGGGCGTGTGCAGGAGGTTGTAGGGTGGGGGTAAAGGTATTGAGCGGGCTGTGGTTTGGCAAAGAAAGGGGGAAAGGGGATGCTGAGGGGTGGTGGCCTATATGCGGAGGGGGTTGAGTCTTGGCAGGAGTGCTGCTTCTGCTGCTGCTGTTGGTGGAAATAAAAAAGAGGTGGAGAGGAAATGTTAGGAAACAGAGCTCCCGGAAGGTGCGAGAATCACCAAGCAAGAAGAAAACAGAGAACCATCTAACCCAACATGGTACCATGAAATGCAACCAAGTCTTCCTCTTCCTTGTCCCACCTGCCCCTGGCCTGATCTTTTTCTCCGGGAATGGTGATGCAATGTGGCTCTATTATCTGGTCAGCTGCACCAGGATGGAGGAGTCTGAAAAAGATGCAGATCTTCCCTCTACCAGGCCAGCAGCCTATCTAACCTTGCATAGTCCACTCTGACTCACAGACTATTTCCAGGATCACAGATAGAAAGGAAGGTTTCTGGGCCTGAGCTAGGCTTTCTTCATTCACACATTTATATCCAGTGTTTCTTCTGACATGGAGCCCAAGCCAATGTGTGTGGGCCTCTTCCAACAGAGAGCTGCCCAGCCTCTGCTTGAAGTCCTCCAGTGTTGCAGTGCTCCCCTCGTGCCTCACCCCAGTAGCTGGCTCCACTGTCAGACTACTCTGGCTGTCAATCGATTCCTCCCAAATCTACTCTCCTGTAACTTGAACCCATTGGATCTCGTCCTCTCCTCTAGACCAGCAGCAGAGAACAAGGCTTTGCCCTCTCTGTGTGACAGTCCCTGAACAGGGCTATCACCCGCTCCACACCCTCAACCTTCTCCTCTCTAATAATGCCCAGCTCCTTCAGTATTCCTGACTGAATCTATTTCATTTTGTCTATATTCTTCTTAAAGCAAACCACACAAATCTGGACATCGTACTCCAGATCAATGGTAGTGGGTGTCAATTCAGTGTTAGAAGCTGAGGTGTATAAGCTAATCACCAAATGGCACCTTAAACCTGGTCACCACAATGGAATGTCTAGGCACACCCATCTCCAGTTAAATTTGTTGTTGCTGCTTTCATTACCATACCACTTTATAGTTTAAAGAAGACATCTCAAAGCTCATTGAAACATTTTTAAAAACCCAGAATAAAACAAATGCAACCTTCAAGGAGAATATGTCGAAGTGACATTTTGTTTTCCCCATATTAATTTACCTACTTAATTTATAGAACTGCCCCTGAGCAGAAGGGCTCTAGGAAGCCAGAGTGGTGCAGTGGTTAGAGTGTTGGACTAGGACCTGGGAGATCCGGGTTCAAATCTCCTTGAAGTCATGAGGCTCCCTTGGGTTGGTGGGGCAGTGCCCCATTTGCCCTAATGGACCACACTCTGCTGCTCTAGGTAGCACCTTCAACAATAGCAGATGCTTGGAAAATGCACCCCAAGAGGACTCACCTCAGACTGTTGAGGCTTAAGCTGCTGCTGTTATATGCCGACAACTGCTGGGCGAGGCTGCGGGAGGGAGGGCGGAGCTGGGCAGATGGCAGGTTTTGACGGGCAGGCTGCCCGGGAGAGGGTGGCCTTGGCAGGCGCTGTGTGGGAGTCGGGGGGCCGGTGGAGTGCTGAACCTCTCCCGAGGCCTGCAGTCTCTGGGGGGCTTCAGGTTGTGATGGGTGGTGAGGCTCCTTTGGCTGGATGGCAGCAGGACTAGGAGAACCTGCCTCTGAAGCAGGTTCCAAATGAGGCAGGGTCCAAGCCTGAGAAACCTGAGGAGAAAGCTCTTTAGCTGCGACAGGGTCAAGCAGCGGATCTCTCCCGCCCTCCTGGCTCTTCTCTTGACTCCGTTCTAATCCCGATATTTTGGGGACTGCCAACGCCCTGGCATCTTGGTCCTCATTTTCCGTTAGTATGCCAGCTCCTATATCAGTATCTGGAAGCAGGAAGAGATGACACAAAAAAGGGTTAAGGTTACACCATGCCAAATTACGTGATGAAAGAAATCATAAACTGAAGCCAGGGTTTCCAGCACATCTTGAATCCGATCTTCCACTACCTGCATTCAACTAGTGGCACTGAGGTTATGTTCTCTCCCCCAAGGAAAATGAAGTTGGTAGCAATAGAACACTCACAAACAGTCCAATTCTGGTGTGAAAGAGAAGTGGAAGGAAAGAGAAGGGAAATGAAGGACTGTAAAGCTGAGCGGAAAGAGATCTGCTGTAGGGATGGGGAGAAAATTGATTTGGTTTGGATTTAAAAGCAAAGCTCCCTGATGTGCACTTCCTGAAGCAACACACTTCTCCGAGTTTTCCAAGGCAATTCTCAAACCAAGCAATGTGTACAAAATGTGCAAACTGTGGATAAGAATGCCTGTATTTGTGAAAATAAGATACAAAATTCTTGTTATGTTAGGGAAAACTGCTTGCAAAAATGAACATATTAAGCAAAATCTGCACTAAAATGCTGATGGGTTTTCAGTAGGACTTCTCTAAATAAAGTAATTCTCAAAATGATATGGAAATCTGTGAAACTGAACTGGGAAAACGAGTAACAGAGAGAAACCAAAATGGCCAGATTTGCCCAGTAACACTGTCTTCACCAAAGGGGGTTAATGCAATTTGGTCTGTCCAGGTCACTTAGAGCCAAAAGGAAGGAGATGTCCACAATTGGCTCTCTGGATGTTTTGAGGATGATGTGGCCAGATCTGAATTTAATCAAAGAACTGGAGCTGAGAGGGGGCTGGCAACCAGTTCCTCCCTCAGTGCAATTTCCCTGATTTACCATAATTTTTGCTCTATAAGACTCACTTTTTCCCTCCTAAAAAGTAAGGGGAAATGTGTGTGCGTCTTAGGGAGCGAATGCAGGCTGCGCAGCTATCCCAGAAGCCAGAACAGCAAGAGGGATTGCTGCTTTCACTGTGTAGCAATCCCTTTTGCTGTTCTGGCTTCTGAGATTCAGAATATTTTTTTTCTTGTTTTCCTTCTCCAAAAACTAGGTGCGTCTTGTGGTCTGGTGCGTCTTATAGAGCGAAAAATATGGTAATTCCCCCACCATCACCACCAAAAAAACAACACCTACTCTTAGACCCACAATGGAAAGCATGCAGCTAAAAATGAAAATGTCAGGATTCCTGGACTTCCCTGTTTATCTGTTTGCTTGCTTTTGCCAATGTGAGTTTACTCAGAAATAAATTCGACTGTGTGTCCAGTGAGCTTCATTCCCACGGAGGTGTGTAGGATTGCAGAGAAAGAAAAGAATAGGGGTCTGAGAGATAGAAGGGGATGCTGCAGAGAAAGGTAGTTGGAGGGGAAAGAGAATGCAAGAAATATCTGATGGATCAGGCCAGTGTCCCATCTAGTCTCAGCATCTTGTTATCATAGTGGTCCACTGTGGGAAGCCCAGAAGCAGTGTTAGAAACTTGGATATATAAGCTAGGAGCCAAATGGCTCCTTAAACCAGGGTTACAGTCGCCAAAACAGAATGTCTCATTGCCATTTGGGGGTCAGTGGTATTTTTCAATTAAACTTTTGGGTTTCTGAAATTCGTCCTGATTGTGCAGATAAAATATCATGGATAGAATTCTAAAGGATGTTAGTGTGTGAAAACAGACAAGATCCATAAATCCCCTGGCATGCACCTCCAGATGGTGGAGATGTTAGGCACCATCCTGGTGCCCAGGAATCTTCTCTTGGCTGCATGTGGCCAACAGCCAGGTGCAAAATTCACCTAAAGGTAAAGGGTACAGGGACCCCTGACCATTAGGTCCAGTCATGACCGTCTCTGGGGTTGCGGCGCTCATCTCGCTTTATTGGCCGAGGGAGCCGGCGTACAGCTTCCGGGTCATGTGGCCAGCATGACTAACCCGCTTCTGACGAACCAGAGCAGCGCACGGAAACGCCGTTTACCTTCCCGCCAAAGCGGTACCTACTTATCTACTTGCACTTTGACGTGCTTTCGAACAGCTAGGTGGGCAGGAGCTGGGACCGAACAACGGGAGCTCACCCCGTTGCAGAGATTCGAACCACTGACCTTCTGATCAGCAAGTCCTAGGCTCTGTGGTTTAACCCACAGCGCCACCCGTGTCCCTTTAAAAATTCACCTGGCACCTGACTAATTTTGAATGCTGCCCAGAAGCAGGACCCAAACACAAGAGCACTCTTCCCTCCTGCAGTTTCCAGCAATCGTCATTCGGAAGCACCACTGCCTCCATCAGAGCAGGTAGAGCATTGTGATTTTGGCTAGCAGCCATGGATAACCATGCCTTTGTCTTCATAACTTTGTCTAATCCTTTTTTACAGCCATCCACGTCGGTGGCCATTACTGACTCTTGTGGGACTGATTTCCATAGGTTATGTGCTGTGGGAAGAAGGACTTTATTTTGTCTGTCCTGAATCTTCCAACATTCCACTTCCCTGGATGCCATGCCAAGCACAGAGGGCAACAACCAGAACATAGTGCCATCAAGAACCACCTTTCCAGAAATAAAAATTGTAATGTTGAAAGAAAGGGAGGGGGAGAGATCACAATAATTAGAGAGCTATGCCTTCCTGTTAGAAATTCCCTGTGAAGAAACTTTCTCCCTCCACCCCCACAAAAAAAAGGGATAAAGCATTTTCCAGTGGAACTCCCTGACACACAGAGTGTTCCACTGTCACCTGGGTGTTAAGATGCCTGTTCTCTCTCAAATGCCAGATATTTGTCTGTTTCTTGAATGTGAAGCATAGACTCCAATCTTTCAAACATTTTTTTTTAAAAAGCTTTCCTTCTTCGAGGTAATGATAAAACAACTTATGATTTAATATAAATCTATTTGCTCCAATAGGGCCTGGTGCAGGGGGATCTGTTAGAAGACACTGTTTTTCATTCTGCTCATCTTCGTTGCAAGCAGCACTGCTTCCATTCCACTGCACTTCACCTCCCAACAAAAACCACATTCTTCATTGCACGGTCTGCTGCAGCAAAATTACATAACTTACGCTGTTATGTACAAAAACCACATTGTCCTTGTGTTATTCCATCCCAATCATTTCAATGCAGAGCAAACACAATGCAAATAGCGAGCGAGGAGACATAATCTTTTTTTCCCCTTTGCAAACTGAAAGCAACAACTGCCGGAAAAGCCAGCTATATTTGCAGGATTGATTTCTGGTATGAATAAGTGAACATTGGCAATTTCCACTCCCGCTGTCATCAGAATTCTCAACTGCAGCCCCAAACTGCAACATTAAGGAGCAACTTAAGAGCATCACAGCATCAAACAGGACTTGACTGGGGGTGAGAATAGCAGCATTGGTTCTTTTTACCAGATTATATGGGTACTGAATGCTGGAGACAGGCTATTTCTCTGCCCATTTATTAAAGTTCTTTTAACAAAGGTTTTGCTTGTGTAGGCTTCCAAGCTCCTTTCCCAGAGGGCAAACTTGGAGCGTGGCCTTCCACCTGTCACCTTACCAGAGTCTCGTGACTTATCTTGGCTGCTGAAATTGGTGAAGACATGTTGAGGGAAAGCTCCGTATTGGTTTTGCTCAAATTAGCTCTGTAAAAATGGGGAGGTGTAGCGATGAGAAGGGGGTTGGCAGCCCGTACAAAGATTCCATTTTACGCTTGTCGTTTTGGGTAAACATTCATTACGGATCAGGAAAGTCTGCATTGACCTCAGCCCCTATCCGCACCCCCTTTCACCAGGCCTCAGCAGGATCGGAGGCCTTGTATTACGGAAAACCCTGGTAATTGGGAGCCTGGCTGGCAGCGCCAGGCATTGCTCAACGAGCAAATCAGACTTTATTAAAAACAGCTGAATTTTCTTCGGCTGCAGTCTCTAAATAATGGAAGAAAACCATGCAATGGAACATGGTAAATAAAACCCCATCGACTGCTCTCACGGGGAACACGTTTTTCTGTTTCTAGAGACAGATAGCTGTGCCCATTGTTAGTCCTACTCAGAGTAGACCCACTGAAATGAAAGGGCACAACTAAATGCGATCCACTCACTTCAATGGGCCTAGTGTGAGTGGGGTTTAGTTGGCTTCATCCCCCACCTCAATATAAAGAGCACTGTTGGATCAGGCCCATCTGGTCCAGCTCCCTGTTTCAACAGAGATCAAGCAGATTACTACAGAAAGCCCACAGGTGGGATATGGGGGCAATAACTCTCTTCTACAGTGGTTCCCCCTCAACTGGTGTTCAGAGGCGTTAATGGCTCTGGTCCTGGAAGCCAGCACATCTCGTCGTCATTGGTACGAATCTGCCTAATCTTCTTTTAAAGGCATTTAATTTGGGGGCCAAGACTACATCTTGTGGCAGCAAATTCGATAGATTAACAATGCACTGTGTATAGAAGTACTTTCTCTTGCCTGTGTTGACTCCTTCGACATTGAGCATACTGCCACAGACAGGGGAGGGAGAATGGAGCCGTTGTGGGCACGAGGTGCATTTCTCTCCCCCCCCCCCAAAATGCAGAATGATGCACAAACCAGAAAGAATACACCTATGAATGAACCCACATGAAAATTGCATGGAGGTTTTCTGCTTTGCTATGTTTTAAAGCCAATAAAGCATTTAAAAAAGAAAAAGAAAGAAAAAGTAAATTACATGGAGTAGAAAAAGATTGATCTATTCATCCCAACTTGTGTCTATTAGATAATGATGTTATTCTTTTGTATAAAGTAGCCCAAACTGAACTGTTTACTGCTCTCACAGAAAATTCAATTTGGCTCAAAAATCATCATCATCCTCATCATCACCACACCCTTTCCCCACACCGGGACTCGAGGCAGCTTACCAGGGGTGCCCAAACTTTTTTCAAAGAGGGCCAGATTTGATGAAGTTAACATGCATGAGGGCCAACCTTTTTTTTACAATTTTACCCCCTAAGTTGTTGACCTTATTTCAGTATTGAACTTCTTGAGCTTTTTAAAGGATTTGACCCCAATAAATAAACTGCCACAGGGGTCAGATAAAACTGGCTGGGGGGGGGCGGATTAGGCCCCAAAACGGACTTTGGACATGCCTGGCTTACACAAATTAAAAGACGGATAAAATACAAAAAGCAAAAACCATATAAAGGATAGCCAATAGGCCTAGGCAATATATCATCCAGGACTGGTATGAGGAGCAGAATGTAATGTCGGCTTCACTCAGCGGTATATCGCTGGTGAAACTGCCACTGCTCCTGAGTCCCTTTGCTAGTGACTTCCTCCAGCAAATGTTGCTAGCAGCTGTGGCAATTTCACCCAGCACCTCACAGGCATAGCCAACATAGCTTGTTTTTTTCAACATCATAGCTGTTTGGCTGGCGATATACGGCAATGTTGAAAAACTGATATCGCCCAGCCCTAATAATCACGCAGAATTAATTAAACTCTAATAGAATTAAAGCAATATAATAAACAGATCTATTAAAATATAGGTAGTAAAAGCAGCACAGCACTATTAAAAGCCTTTTCCTTTAAAAACAAAAAACAGTTCTGAAACAACCTTGGAATAAACGATTGTAAGGGCAACAAGGAGGGAGCCAGTCTAATTTCTCTAGGGGGGAAGTTCCAAATTCTGGGAGCAGCCACTGAAAAGGCGCTCTCCTGCGTCCCCACCAAGTGCCCAGGGCCGGATTTAGGTTTGATAAGGCCCTAAGCTACTGAAGGTAATGGGGCCCTTTATATGTCCAGCTGTCCTTTGTCAACAACAAATTGCCGCTGTTTTTTGTGTTGAATATATGCTATATGGTAATTTATGGACCTAATAGGTATCTAAAGCCATTTGCACATAACAAAATATGTATTTTATCAAAGTAATTGTTGAACTGAAATACAATTAAGAAGAAGCATATTAATATTTTGGAAATGTACATCCAGATTTTTTTTCTTTAATTTTTTTTTTGGAGGGGGCCAAGAGAGTGGGACCCTCAGTTATAGCTTGTTTAGCTTATACGTAAATCCGGCACTGAGTGTGCCTTTGAGGGTGGTGGAACTACAATCACTATACAGATTACAGTATAGAAGAACAGGATCAGCAGATTTTGTTGTTGTAACTGCACACAAATATAATCATTCATTACAAGAACTACCAACAGTGGAAGATTGGCAGATGAAGATGATGGACTTTTCGGAGCTAGCTGACCTGACTGGAAGAATCCGCAACCAGAAAGAAGAGGAGTTTCAAGAGGACTGGAGGAAATTTAAGGACTATTTGAATAAATATTGTAATATAAAAAATTAGAAATTACTTGAAAGAAACAAATAGGCCTAGGATTAAACTAAGTTATAATTAAATAAATGGGATTTAGAATGTTAAGAAAAGTGAATAAAATGGACTATAATTGAAAATTGTTTTAGTTTAATAATGATATTGGAAAGCTGTTACTTTTAATTACAAGGAAACTCAGAAGGGAGGGATTTGAGGAAGTCAACCAAGATGTTTAAAAGGTTGGATTTGTGAAGAATTAAGTTTGTTGTTATTGTTTATCTGTTTATTGTTCCCTTTTTGTTCCCTTTTTCTGTTTTTGTGTATCATTTTGCTTTGTGGTTTGTGTTATCATTGTGGAAAATCTAATAAAAAAAATATTTTTTTTAAAATATATACTCATTCATTGTTTGGAACCTTCTTGAATTGTCCACTTAACAGTGCAAAAGGTGGTATTTGGGATTGTAGTTTAGAGGGGGGGCAAACAACAGCTCACGGTATTCTTGGGGGGATGATATGTGCTTTAAATGTGTGGTTTGGACGTGACTCAAGTCAGAGGACTGGTCCCACTAGCTCAGCATTGTCTACCCTGCCATATGGTTAGTCTTTCCCAACCACACTGGCTGAAATCCTTAAACGGCAAAAGCCTGAGGTCGATCTTGAGCCCCTTTTGCATGCAGAACATGTCGTCTACTGTTGAGCTTCCCAGACATCCCATCTTGCCATCTCTGGGAACTGCAATTTTTAAAAGGAGATTAATACCAAGTTATAATAAGCACCTCCAGCACAGCACTCAAAGACGCTTTGCTCCCCCAGCATGGGAAATGAGATTACAGGCTCCAAGTGTGCTGGAAATGCCACATGAAGGCAAAATCTACGAGCTTTGCTTGCCGACATTGCAGGAGCCTCTGCTGAAATGCAAACACGCAACCGCCTCCATCAATTATGGTAATAAAACAACGTGTTTTTCATCCTTCAGCCAAGTTCTGCTCTAAAAACTGGCTCCCTAGAGTGCAAATCCTTCCAAGAACATAATACCCCTCTGTTGTTTCCTTCTTGAATTTGTTCAGCTGTCATTTGGGATAGACAGTAAATGGGCAGTATGGGTTTAGCTTCCTAACTCTTTGTGACACTCTGTGGAGGGAGAAGATGGAAAGAGGGACATAAACCATCTCAGCCCTGGACAAATCTATATTTTAAACAGCTGGTTTCCTAACCACAAGGGGGCCATTTCTCCACATACAGATAAACAGAGTACATTATTAAATCAAAAAGTGGTACTTTAAAAACAAAACAAAGCCCTAATTCTAGGAGCTACTAACTCAGGGCGGGAAAGCCACACATTAAAAGCAGAAAGTATTAAAGCAAGCATCCAATATTGGATATTGGTGTTTTCTGAAAAAACCTCCTCTGAAAAGAAAGCTAAATGAAAACTTTTTTTATGGGGGAGAGTCTGTTATGGTTGAAAAGCTCAAAGTCAAGCTTGCCTTACAGATCTTTAGTGTGCAAAATCCTATATAGCACAGGTAGTCCACGGGGGTCTCCTTCAAGGTTTTTGAAGTACAACTCCCATTGATATCCCCCCAATAGCTAGATAAAAGCAAACATAGCCTCCCATCTCCAGACATGGGCTTCAGCTTCCATCAGCCCCCAATTCTCAGCCTGACCAGAGGTCAGGAATGGTGGGAGTTGTAGCCCACAACATTTGGCTATCATCGCATCAACTGTCCCTGATGCATAGCAAGTATTCATGATCATCCAAAAGGGAGAAAGGAAGGTGGACAACTTCACAGGCTAACAAGCAACTCTCAAAATATCTCATATGCAAAGTAAGAGACAGCATATGTCAAAGCGGAGATAGCCTGGCTGCAGTAACCTATGCTGTGATAACTTCTACAGTGTTTTGTATGTAGGTTTGCTTTAGAAGACGGGACGTGGGTGGCGCTGTGGGTTAAACCATAGAGCCTAGGACTTGCCTATCAGAAGGTCGGCGGTTCGAATCCCCGCAACAGGGTGAGCTCCCGTTGCTCAGTCCCTGCTCCTGCCAACCTAGCAGTTCGAAAGCACGTCAAAGTGCAAGTAGATAAATAGGTACCGCTCTGACAGGAAGGTAAACGGCATTTCCGTGCACTGCTCTGGTTCACCAGAAGCGGCTTAGTCATGCTGGCCACATGACCTGGAAGCTGTACGCCGGCTCCCTCAGCCAATAAAGCCAGATGAGCGGCACAATCCCAGAGTCAGTCATGACTGGACCTAATGGTCAGGGGTCCCTTTACCTTGCTTTAGAAGATCATTTGGAAACTGCAGGTGATCTAGAATGCAGCCTCAGATGCTGGAGGCACCCAGTTTTGCCTATCCTTACTCACAACAGGTCTTTGCAAGATCTTAGGTAAATGAGTTCTTTGCCCATTTCAGACGCTTTTAGCAGGAGGTACCAAGGACTCAACCAGAAACATTTGGGAAGCAAAGACTGTGTTTTGCTCCTGAGCTTTAGCCTAGGGGTACAGAGTCTTTGGCAGGGGGGATGAGAGTTGTAGTTCATCTGGAGAGCCCAAGGGTCTCCACACCAGTGGCATGCAGTGTAATACTTTGTAGGGGAACATTTAGGGCCAGAGGTGCCAGCTTGTGAGGGCAATGGGGGGCCAACATTGCACATACAATGTTGTACATGTGAGCATTGCGCCACCCTCCCTAAGCAGTGCAGAAGCTTTCTGGGCTTTGGGAAGGAGGTAACAGGCTTCTGATTGAATGCTGGAGCCCTGCTGCTTCCTTCCCAATTCTGCTTTGGGAAAGTGGCAGGAGAGCTCTTGGACCCCCGTCGGAGCATCACGCCTTCCTCCCTAAACCAGGCAGAAGCTTCCTGGGTTTTGGGAAGGCGGCACCAGACTTTAATGCTTTAATGCTCTAAATTACCGGGAACATTTAGGGGACTAGCCTAGTTGCCCTACCGACTACAGTGGTACCTCGGGTTACATACGCTTCAGGTTACATACGCTTCAGGTTACAGACTCCGCTAACCCAGAAATAGTGCATAAGGTTAAGAACTTTGCTACAGGATGAGAACAGAAATCGTGCTCCAGCGGCGCAGCAGCAGCAGGAGGCCCCATTAGCTAAAGTGGTGCTTCAGGTTAAGAATAGTTTCAGGTTAAGAACGGACCTCCGGAACGAATTAAGTACTTAACCCGAGGGACCACTGTACATGCCATTGCTTCACACCTGTGCTAGCCTGTTCACTAGCAGCAATTTGATGATTACACTCATGGTCTTTTCCCAGGTTTCCCTTCATACACACCCTTTACTCCTGTAATGATCAACACAGATATCCCATCTGATGTTGGAAGGCTGTTAACAACATCTACATGAAGTTCTACAGCTGCCACTAGCAACAATATTGTCTGAACAACTTATAGAACGAAAAGCAAAAGGTTATGCTAGAGGAAGCTTGCTGCACACCTGCTGATTCCTGTTGCGCAATCTGTTGCACTACAGTCTTGCTCAACAACATTTCATCAGTGCAAGAGGCATACCATCAAGTGACTTTAACTTAATGTTTAATGGAACCCAATGGTCTTTTTAAAAACAACACCTAAAACAGTGAGAGCCCAAGGTTTATTTGGAACACAAGGTTGTTTAAAAGTTTGCTTGATAGCAAGGCAGGCAGATAGAGACACCATCAGGGTCTGCATTAGTCAGATGGTTCCCCGCCCCCCTGCCATGGGTCAATGGATGCGATTCTGCCCCAGGAGAAGGAAGGAAGAAGGCTGGTAGTGGGGTTGCTTGTGTTTTATTTTTAACTGCTGGTGAGTGAGGTAGGAGAAGTGCAAAACTGTAAATTGTAAAAAATGCAAACTATTTAGTGCCTTGGCAAAAAGATGGGATATAAATCCAAAAAACAAAGCAGCAAACAAATTAATAAATAGCAAAAGGTCTGGAGGAATAAAAATCTATTCACCTGTTGTGAAAAATGACACAGAAAAAGTGCCAGGTGAGCCTCCCTGGGGTGACAACTCCATAAGTGAAGTGTCACCACAAAGGAGTTCTCTCCTTCATAGACAGCTGACTCACATCATTTGGTAGTTGTCACCCAACAAGACCTCAAAAGAAGATCTTTAGATCTGGAAAGGTGTTTCTCGGAAGAGTCTTGCCACATCCATTCACGACATCAATTTCTTCTTCATTGTAACTGAAGGCAAGAGTTTACTTGCTTCGGGGAAGCTAGATCAGCACGTCTGATGCCTTGACAGCAAACAAAACAATCAATGCCTTCACATTCATACTATTGACTCTCCTCCAGCAGCCCAAAGGCATGAGGTTTAAAATTTCATCTGAAGGAGGTTCAAACTGCACAATTTTCCAGAGTCTGCACATTTTACCCAGGCTTATATGGAAGTCCCCCCCCCCCCAGACATCTAGTCAAAGACAATAGGAATGCAGTGGCTGATGGGGCAGAAGGAAGGCCATAGAATTGTAGAGTTGGAAGGGACCCGAAGGATCATCTAGTCCAACCCCCTGCAATGCCACATGGAGGGAAGTGGGTAACCACTAGGGAGAGGTCCATTTCAGTAGCGCCACCCTGGTTATAGGGCATCCTTCTCAGGGAGATTCAGCTGGCAGCATCTTTGAAATAGTTTTGGTACTAGGTTGATAGGGATGGGGGAGAAATCTGATTCGGTTTGCATTTAAAAGGGGAACCTACCAAATTCACCCTTTCCTAAACAAGATGAGAACCAAGACACAGTCGCCCTTTGTAATCTGCACTTCTCCAAATTTTGCATTGCTGCTGTATGGCCACGTAAGGGGCACAAGAATGCATACAGTAGGGTGAAAGGTGCATATAAATGAATATATTAGTGAAAATAACACAGAAAAAATGCACATTAGGGGAAAGTGCCTTGCAAAGATGTGTGTTAGGCAAACTTGCATCCAAACACGTGTATATTAGGAGAACTTCACACTAAAACGCTGATGAATTTCCATGAGTTTTATAAACTTTTAAAATAAATCAGACTGGTGTAGAAATGCAGAGAGATGAACTTACAACTGGAAAAATGGGTGAAATGGCTGGATTCTTCCATCCCTACCAAGCGAAAACCTTTTTGTTTACCCAGACCTTTAAATAAAATCTTGGTATGGACCTCTGTGTTGTTGGTTTTTAAAAAATAAAAATAAAAATCTGTTTTTAAGCTGAGGGCATATTCTTTTTCCTTATATTTATGTAGCATTCATTTTTCTTTTTAAAAAATCTTACTTTGCATTTTAGCGTGCTCTCTCTCTCTCTCTCTGTGTGTGTGTGTGTGTGTGCTTACATATTTATTGTAAGCCACCTACAGAACACTATGCTAGGGGGTGGCATAAATAAATTAAATAAAGTGCATCTGAAACACTCAGGACTAGAAGCTTGGTCTCCACCGTCAAAGCTTGCATGGCAACTACAGTGGTACCTCGGGTTACATACGCTTCAGGTTACAGACTCCGCTAACCCAGAAATAGTACCTCAGGTTAAGAACTTTGCTTCAGGGTGAGAACAGAAATTGTGCTCCGGCGGCGTGGCGGCAGCAGGAGGCCCCATTAGCTAAAGTGGTCCTTCAGGTTAAGAACAGTTTCAGGTTAAGAACGGACCTCCAGAACGAATTAAGTACTTAACCCGAGGTACCACTGCACCTACTATAGTTGAGGCATTAATACAGCTAAGTTATGGCAAATGTATGTTTAAGACATCCACCACATAGGTGCACACAGGCGCACACACCCCAAATAGGATTAATGATTCGAAAACCACACGCTGCTAGAGGCCATGGGGAGCTACAGATAGCAAATACCTAATTATTCCCTCCTGGCTGTTCAGGTGTCAATCGACCTCCCGCTCATATTTCTCAGCTGCACATTTCGTTCGGCAAAAAGATCTCCTTGGCTTTGTATAAACTTACCAGCCTAATCCTCCTGCTTCATAAAGGCCACATTAGCTTTGCATTTAGCATACACGCACACCTCCACACTTCCCTCCTTGTCAGGCTGGCAAGAGAAAGCTCTTAATCTTCTTGAAGAGACTGAGGGTGCGTAGGATGGCTCCGAGAAGATGTCAAGCCCCACACATGGAGATATGGCAAGGTGGCATTAAGTGCCACTGCTGATCTTGGCAGCTGCCACCAAGCTTAAACTTCATATCATCATCAAACATCTGCAACCTCAGCAGGGAGATTTTCTTAGTCCACCACCCCTCCTTATTAATTTTATTTATTAGATTTATATCCCACCTTTGCTCCTAGAGGAGCCCAGAGTGCCAACTGCACAAGTGATAAAACAATCATAACATTAAAACTATTCCAACACCCATCAAACCCTCGTATTGAAGAAATGTAAACAGGGAGCAAATAATCCCAAAGTAGGATTGAGGGCAGAGGGAGAGAGAGTGAGGAGCTGCAAAAATAAATAATGGTTTTACATCCTCTCGATAAAGTTCTGTAGTGCCCATAAGACAAGAGATGTAGCCCATGTATTTACATTATATGAGGAGATTTTGCCTCCTCCCACATTTACCTAACGAAACACTCATATCATGATCTAGGTCCATCCTCTCTAAGTGCCCTTTGCCTGGAGAAGTACAGAAGGAGGATGATATGCATGAAAGTGCATTTTTGGCAATGTCCCCTCCCTGGTGCCTACGTTAATAACTTTTTCAGAGCCGGGATGGCGGGGAGATGAGGGAACTGTAAAAATAGGTTGCAGTCCTTTCAAATTACGTTATATAGTTTTAATTCGGTTTAGATTTCTGGATTTTCTTTCCCTCCGCTATTTTAAAGCTGTGGTTTTGTAACAGTGATGTGTTAATTGAATTTGGGTTCTTTCTTGTTTTGGTTTTGGGTTGTTTGCCTTTGTATCTGTAAGCTGCATGGAGAACTTCAGCTACACAGTGACCTATAAATTGCTATTTATCAGCCAGACACCATCTCCCTATAACAATAACAATAATATTTTTTATTTTTTAATTTTTATTAGTCGGCCAATCGGTGTTAAAAAAGGACAGAACTTTCTTTATGTATGCTACAACAGCAGCAAGAATACTCATTGCAAAGTATTGGAAGACACAAGAGCTACCCACACTGGAGGAATGGCAGATGAAAATGATGGACTATATGGAATTGGCGGAAATGACTGGTAGAACCCGTGACCAGGGAGAAGAGTTGGTGGAAGAAGATTGGAATAAATTTAAAGATTATTTACAGAAACATTGCAAAATTAATGAATGTTAGAGTGATGATGGATTGAAGTTAAGTGGCTCCTAGCTGTACAGGTTTTAGAATCATAGAATCATAGAATCATAGAGTTGGAAGAGACCACAAGGGCCATCGAGTCCAACCCCCTGCCAAGCAGGAAACACCATCAGAGCACTCCTGACATATGGTTGTCAAGCCTCTGCTTAAAGACCTCCAAAGAAGGAGACTCCACCACACTCCTTGGCAGCAAATTCCACTGTCGAACAGCTCTTACTGTCAGGAAGTTCTTCCTAATGTTTAGGTGGAATCTTCTTTCTTTAAAAGCTATAGGTTTTAAAGCTATAAATATATCAAGATTAAGGATTAGGATCAAAAAGGTTAAGAGAAATGGAAAAATTGGTTCTAAATAGGTAAAAATCTAATGCCATAATATATTAAGATTTAGGATTGGAATTAAAAAGGAGGGAAAGAAATTGCTGGGCTTACAAACTGAATTGGAATACAAAAGAGGGAGGTATGAGGAAGTCCGGGAAACAAGTAAATGTAAAAGAAGTTATGAAAAGACGGAACTATTTTTAACTGTTTTTTCTTTTTTTTCTTTTTTCTTTTTTTTCTTTTTTCTATTTTCTATTTGGTATTTTGTATGGTGTATTTTTCTCTGTTTTTGTTAAAATTTTTCTTGTTTATTAATGTGATTTTATTATTTTTGAAACTTTAATAAATATTAATTAAAATAAATAAATAAATAAATAAATAAATTTTTATTTATACCCTGCCCTCCCCGGCCCAGACCAGGCTCAGGGCAGCTAACACTGAATATAAATACAGTAAAAACATTAAAAAGAAGAAGAAGAAGAAGAAGAGTTTGGATTTGATATCCCGCCTTTCACTCCCTTTAAGGAGTCTCAAAGCGGCTAACATTCTCCTTTCCCTTCCTCCCCCACAACAAACACTCTGTGAGGTGAGTAGGGCTGAGAGACTTCAAAGAAGTGTGACTCGCCCAAGGTCACCCAGCAGCTGCATGTGGAGGAGCGGAGACGTGAACCCGGTTCCCCAGATTATGAGTCTACCGCTCTTAACCACTACACCACACTGGCTCTCCGAAAAACGAAAAAAAACAAACAAAAAACAAAAAAACACAGTTGATTAAAATATGTTAGAATCTAGTTTAAAATGCAGCTTAAAATGCATTTAAAATGCATTTAAAATATTGTCTTTTTGGCATCTTTCAAAGACATTCTGCAAGTGCAGGGTTTGTTTGTTTTTAATCTCAGTTGGTACAGCTGTTGGATATGTTCCTACTGTATTATGAAGTCATTTTCAAATGTTCCATAGGAAGTGACCTGAAAGATCACCTCATCCTTTATATACCCAGTTGATCGCTGTGCTCTGCAGGTGAAGGCATCTTGCAGATCCAACAGTTAGGCACCTAAATTGTAACTCCATCCAGTTACACATCAGACAGCTCCATCTCTGTAGCCTTTTCAGTGCCTACTGAATAGCTTGGTTGGTAGAGCATGAGACTCTTAATCTCAGGGTTGTGGGTTCGAGCCCAAACTGGGCATAAGAGTCCTGCACTGCAGAGGGTTGAACTAGATGGCGATCGTGGTCCCTTCCAACTGATTCTATGAAGACCCAAGAAGTCCTTTAAGATGAGATCTTCCCCAGTATTGGAATTGTATTGGAATTGTTTTAAGATATTTTCATAGTTTTATGGAAGATGGAAACTTGTTTTCTCCTGCTCCGGAGGGTACAACCCAAACCAATGAATTCAAGTTACAAGAAATGAGATTACGACTAAACACCAGGAAGCACTTTCTGACTGCAAGAGCTGTTCAGCAATGGAATGGACTCCCACAAGAGGTGGTGGACCTTCCTTCCTTGGAGGTTTTTCAGCAGAGGTTGGAAGGTCACCTGTCATGTATGATCTACTTAAGATCCCTGCATGGCAGCGGGGGGGGGGAGCGGTTGGACTAGATGACTCCTGGGTTCGTTCCAGCTCTACAATTCAATGATTCTATGTGTTTGCTTCCTTGGGTTCCACTGGAGGGAAGGATGGGTTATAAATCGTAAGCAGCAACAACAGCAACCTGTTTCCCTTGTCTTTTCCTTAAAGAAACAACAACCCAGGGAAATGAGAAGCTTTATGTTCTTAGCCTAACACATTTGTAAAAAGGAACAACTGTTCCCACTCTCCCAGCTCAACATCTGTTCTAGGAAATCAGCTGCACAGCTAGATGTCACCAGAGACACCTGCCTCTGCATGTACCGTAATGAGGATCCTGTTTTCTTGGGCTGTCATTCTGGGATGTCAGCACCAGCGACTCTTCAAACAATTCACCCTGATATGCACCAGGAGTGAGCTGACGGTTGCGATCGGCAAGCCCACAATCCTTGTCAGAAACTCCTCCGAGCCGAAGGTGTGATGCACCCAATTATTTGTTTGTCAAAGATCTAGAGGCTGAAGGGGGTTCAGCACACTTTGTCAAATGCTATTTTTGGCCCACACTGCGACAGCAATGTATAATGAGGTCCCCAGGTGGCTGCTGATCATGCCAGGTTGTGATGGGGATGAGCAAAGGGGTTGAAAAAATCCAGATGGCAAATTAGTGGGCTCGAGTCAGATAAGAGGAGTCAAAGTTGCTGGCAAGGAGAAGCCACCATGACAACTATGGTGCGTAGGAAGGATATTAATGCATTTTTTTAAAAGACAGTAAGAGGGGGGAGCAAAGACAAAGACTGTAATCCTTCCAATCCCATATCCACACGGTATAAAATAAAGGCTAATTCCAAAATAAACAGATAAACCAGATAGTAGGACAACATTTGTGGGGTTTGACAAACCAATTTGCAAATTCCTGAGTTATGCAGAACCCTTAGCAGGTGACAAATGTGTTCTTTGCTTACAACGAATGGACTCAAAGCCAAACTACCCAAGTTTCAGAAGATCTATAATCAGATCTGTTTTCACCAAAAAAAATGGCTCCTGTTTGGATGGGACCGTTAGGGTCCTTGGCCTTCTCCATCCTTACCCAGTGAGGTTTCTCTTATATGGAGGAGGCAACATAGCTGGGGCTTGGAGGAGTCTGAATACTTCCATTGAAGCTCAGAGAGAGAGAAAGGTCACATGGCAGCAACTATTGCTGACAAGGGTACTTCACCACTCCCCAGTGTCTCTAACCCCCCACATTTCAGTTGGAGGGTTGGTAGAGAGAAGGAAGAGGTGCCAAGTCACATGAATGCCTGGAATGGGATTAGTAGTAGAGCATCTGCTATTCATGCAGAGGGTCCCAGATTCAAGTGTTAGTGTCTCAGCATAGGACTGAGAAACCCTGGGGAGACAACAGTGAGCAAGATGTACCAATGGTTTGACCCAGTGTAAGGCAACTTGCAATGCTCCTATTGGGGTGAAAAATCTCACAGGCGTTTTAATGATGCAATCCATACTTGACATTTTCAGTCACTCTGAATTGTCACCTTGCCAGGGTATGCATATGTGAGCCTGTTTGAGTAGTTTCATAGAATCATAGAATTGTAGAGGGAACATGGGATCAGCTAGTCCAAACCCCTTGCAATGCAGGAATCTTTTGCCCAACGTGGGGCTTGAACCCACAACCCTGATATTAAGAGTGTCATGCTCTACCAGCTAAGCTATCCTAGAGCTGGCTTTGTCAGGTGGATGGTCACAGCTTAAGAAAAAGATTGTGACTGTCAAAGCTATTTTCAGTTTCTCTCATAAACGCAGGGAGCTTTTCCCGTCTGGGTGGGAGGTCATGCATTTCTTTTCCCCATGGAAATATATTTTCTCTACGGGTAGCACAGAGGTATGTTTATTTAACTAGGTCTTGGGTTTGTTTTGGAGTTGCTTTTCTAAAAACTTCTCCTCAATCTGGATTGCATTCAGTCAGCTATCACTCCAATTAACTAACAATTATTTAACATTAACAGTAATTACAGACACCAGTCAAGCGCCTGCAGATGTCAACTGTTAGCTTTTTGTACCTAATCACTCAATGAAATGGAGAAAGTTCAACAAACATCAATTAGGAAACCAATTAGTTTGAGTTAGAAGAGTGCACACTATCATGAGTGAGCTCATTCGATTTATTTTCTTTTGGCAGGAAAAGGCGCATTGGCCAACAAGCCTCTATACACTACCGAGATAAGGTAAAGCTGCATTACACAATGACAACCTTTTCAAAAAAAAAACCCAAAACATTTTCACTATAATGTAGGAATGACATGATCCATCATAGGTATTCTGGTACAAATCTCTATTCCAACCTAGTATACCAACAACCTTCCTAACACACACAGTCCATTGTCCAGCCCATGCTCTGATATTATTAGATCTATTTTCCATATTATTATTATTATACCGCCTTATACCCGCAGGTCACATGCCATTAGGTTTGCAAACAGCCTCTCTTGCACTGCCTTCAGGGCCGAAAGTTAAACTAAATAGAATTAGTTTTAAAAAAACACAAAAATATTATGTTTATCTTCTATTTCCATTTCTTTTCAAGATTTTCAATTAATGGATGCTGCCTGATGGAGGCAGATGGGCTGAAAGTGCAATGAACAAATTGATACTGAACTTGTATTGTCCATCAACAAAATATGAGGGCTTCCCCATGTCCATGCTTGGAAAACACAGCCTTGTATGCTAGTTCAGGCTTGCAAATAGCCACTTGCCCAGTCAGCAGATTGCCTCCAAGCTAGTTGAAGAAGGCTTTGCAAAATGGAAGAATAGCTTCTGTTATTCTTGTAAAGGCCCACAAATGACGGACAGTGCGGTCTATTTACTCCCAAGGGGCTTACTCCTGGAGAAGTGGGCCACAATCCTATAAACACACCGACCTGGGAGTTAAGTGCCACTGAAAGCACGCACTATTTACAGTGATACAGTTGATGTCTGATCTTTGTAACTGATACCCTGGACATTTCATCACCTGTCACTGTTATTAGAGAGCAAGGGTGGGGTTTTCCACACTAATAGTAGGTTGTGCCTACTATCTATGGGGAAAGATTCTGTGGGTATGGTGTCACCCCTTACATACCCTTGTGTTCCTCCAGCCAGTAAATGTCAGAGTTATGAGCATGCATAAGATAGCCTTTTTCCTGCATTTTTGAGGGGTGTATTTAATGCCTAGGGTTCCAGAATTCTACTCTGGAGATTAGAGGAGGAACTCAGTGTCTACCTGAGCCATGGTGAAACAGGTTGTTGTGATGGAATTTTGTCTGCAGCTCATGTTCGCTGCCATGGGCAGTGCTTTGACTCAGTATTATTGTCTCTACCAGCCACTTTTCTCCTCTTAACTGAGGTTGCCAACTGATAGCTCTCACCAATCCAGAGGATTTGGGGACAAAAGCAGGTGTCTTCCAAGCCACACCCGTCAGCCACCAATGCCTCCACACAGAAACCAAGAGGATGTTTGTACACATGTGTCACAAATGAAGATATTGAGGATCCATTCCTGATCTTTTGCAACAGTCCTTTCTTTCTTGCAGTAGAGGGGGGGGAGCATGTCGCTCTCTAAATACATTATTCTGGAAGACTAGCTGAATGTTGTGCGACAGAATGTAAAAAAAAATCTCCCCAAACCCTGTCAACTGCTTTAAATGGTAAGGGCAGAAAGACCCTCTACAGTATGTACAGTGGTACCTCAGGTTAAGTACTTAATTCATTCCAGAGGTCCGTTCTTAACCTGAAACTGTTCTTAACCTGAAGCACCACTTTAGCTAATGGGGCCTCCTGCTGTCGCCATGCCGCCAGAGCACAATTTCTGTTCTCATCCTGAAGCAAAGTTCTTAACCCGAGGTACTATTGCTAGGTTAGTGGAGTCTGTGACCTGAAGCATATGTAACCTGAAGCGTATGTAACCTGAGGTACCACTGTACATATGCAAAGGATTGCAGTTAGATAACTAAAAAAACCAAAAAACAAAAAAAGGCTAATGACTAAGAACATTTTTTTTACTGGCAAGTAACAATTCAACACATTTCCAGCTGGTTAAATGTATCCCGCAAAATCAACATTTCAAAAAGTAAAAACAGATAACCTTAAAAGAAATGAATCCTGAAATTCTGCCAGGATTTCATGGCAGTTGTGCCGCTTTAAGTGCAAGTGATGTGTGTGTGCTTATGAACATAACAACCTCTGTGTTGAATGATACCCAATGTGCAGTGTTAGAAACTCAGATATATATCAGCTAATTACCAAATGGCACCTTAAACTTAGGTTACGGTCACCACAGCAGAATGTCTAGACATCCATTCCCCCCCAGCCCTAATGCGATTTGTTGCTGTTGTTAATTTCATTATTATACTGCTTTATATTTTAATGAAAAAGATCTCCAAGCAGTTTGCAACACATTAAAACAGGCATCCCCAAACTCGGCCCTCCAGCTATTTTTGGGACTACAACTCCCATCATCCCTGACCACTGGTCCTGTTAGCTAGGGATGATGGGAGTTGTAGTCCCAAAACAGCTGGAGGGCTGAGTTGGGGGATGCCTGCATTAAAACATCAAATAAAATAATCCAAAATGAAACAAATTCAGCTTTCAAGGAAAATATTTCAGATCCTTCTCTAAGTGAGATTTTGCTTTCCCCATATTTATTTACCTACTTAATTTATACAGCTATCCCATGTTGTTGTTTAGGTTTAGATTTACATTTTAAAAAGTAAAAGGTAAAGGACCCCTGGATGGTTAAGTCCAGTCAAAGGCGACTATGGGGTTGCGGCGCTCATCTCACTCTCAGGCCGAGAGAGCCGGCGTTCGTCCACAGACAGCTTTCTGGATCATGTGGCCACCATGACTAAACCACTTCTAGTGCAACAAAACACTGTGATGGAAACTAGAGCACATAGAAATGCCGTTTACCTTCCCGCCACAGTGGTACCTATTTATCTACTTGCACTGGTGTGCTTTTGAACTGCTAGGTTGGCAGAACCTGGGACAGAGCAACGGGACCTCACCCCTTCGCAGGGATTCGAACCACCGACCTTCCGACCAGCAAGCCCAAGAGGCTCAGTGGTTTAGCCACAGCGCCACCAGCATCCTTCATCACAAGATCACGGGGCAGTTGACAGTTGCTTTTAAACAGCAGCCAGCCAGGAATTTCACTAGCAGGAAGGCAAATTAGGAGTCCATGAGGGCACGGCAACCTTTAGCCTGCTTTGCTCCATCCTGTCTCATAGGCTCTTCACTGGGACCTGGACAGGAAATCCTTGTGGGTTTATGAAGGGGAGGAGGTCTACTAGGCCCAAGAGCAAGATGTCCTCCGCTCTCCAAGATAATTCTCATCCTGTCAGTGCTACAGCTCTGAATTAGCCACTTGGGGAATTGCCATCTGGATGCACCCTGATAAATCAATCATGTTTCGAGCTGGGCTTTCAGAATGTTTATACTTTGTACAGACAGACACAAAATCTGGTGTTGATAAGTCTTTCCTGAGAAAGTTAAATAAAAGCTTAATCTCGTAAATAAACACTGCCGTCAGGACAGATAAAAAATTATGCATTAGTAAATATTACCAATTTTTTTTTGAGCTGGCAGTAGATTAGACTGACTTGGCTAAAATCAACAGGCTCAAATTCTTAAGAAATCAGAACAGATATCACAACATCCATTTCTCACAAGATCTTCATGGTAGTATAGATACATAAACACACACACACACACACACACACACACACACACAACTAAATGTTGTACTACTACCAAGGCAGAGAAGACCCAAATATCTTATTATTTTGACAGCAATTCACAGATCAGAGTTTTCTTACTTCTCTATCAAGCTCACAATTCTGTACAGCAGGGATGAGCAACCTGTAGCCTTCTTGGTGATGTTCAACTACAACTACCATCATCCCCGAACAGTGGCTATCATAGCAAGAATGGCCTATCAGGTATCCATCTACATCAGCCCTGATTGAATCAGTGTTTATTAGGGCCCAGGTAGCATCTCAAATCCCACGTCAGCTTAAGATGATTTACAATTGTGCAGGAAGTCTACTCGCACAGAGCAGGTTCCTAGATACAGATGCTCAGGCACCCCAATACTCCCCTTGCTCCATGCCTGCCAAACTGTAAGGTCCATCCCTTGTTGATACTTCCCAGTACGATCCCTCCACCAGTGGTGGATGCTGCCCATTGGAGTGATGGGGCAGAAAGCAGAAAGTCTACCCAATAGTGGAGCCAGAGCTGACATCAGGCAGAGCTGGCTAATTCTAGTTTTGTCCCCATCTTTCTCCCTGCTGACTTATACACTGAAACTGAGAGGGCAGCTGACATGTTCAGTTACCTCCTGAGTGGGTTTGCAAGTAAGATGGGAGACAAGTGAGGGCTGGTTGAGGGCAGGCTGAGGTTGGTAGAGAAGGACCCCCAATGGACTAGCCTCCACTGCCCGCTCCCCAGGAAGTAGCTCTTTTTAGCAGTGCTGAGAAATTAAAGTCAAAACAAAATGATCTGTAATACAAGGAGCCCCTACAAGCGCATAATTCAGCACTGAGCACTAGGGATGGGAGGAGAAGTTCCATTTGGTTAGCATTTTAATGAGAATCGACCGAATTCTCGTTTCTTGTACCAATATGCAAAATGAAACACATCTCTCCTTTGAAATGTGCACTGATATGAATTGTATGCACAGCCAAACATTATTGGCAAAAATGAATATATTGGGCAGGGGGGAGAAGGCACAACAATGGATATATTGCTAGAAAAACCAAAACATAAACAATTCATTGTATTAGGGGAAATTGATAGCAAGAAAGTGTAGATTATTATTAGCCAAAATTTCATACTAAAACATGTGATCATTCCGGGGGGGGGGGGATCACACTAAAATCCTATTGAATTTTCACGAGGATTTAAAAAAAATCACAAATTGTTGCAGGGAACTGAACTTAACCTTAGAAAATTGAGAATCAGAGAGCTGAAAATGACAGATTTTCCCCTCCCTACTAAGCATAGAATCTAGCATTTGGAATCATTTGTTTTTAAGAAATGAAGTTTTTGGTTCTCGTAGCACAAATTTCAGGAACCAGGGAAAGCGGGGGGCAGCAGAGCAGAATTTTCAGTGGTCAGAACTTCTAGCACAAAAATAGTCCTCTTCTCCCAGGCCTTGGCTAATTAAACAACCTACAACCTTTTAAACTGGGGGGGGGGGTTGTTTTCATTTGTTATTATGTTATGTATTTTTGTGTTTTTATATTGTAAACTGCCCTGTGGTCCTCGGACGAAGGGTGGTATAGAAATTTAATAAATAAAAAACCAAACTATCATCAATACAAAATTCCCATGATTTTCCAAGTTAAGGAAGTTGCAACCTTTTCTCTCACAATTAACCTAGAAATGAGCCCTAAACTTCCACTAGATTCCCAGAAGTGGCTTTAACACAGTGTTCAAAACTGGGACAGGAATGCTAGGTGCCGAATGGTGCCTGGAACCTGGGTTCAGGGTGCCAAAACAGAATATCCAATCGCATTTGTGCCCCATGGATCTCCTAGCTCACGCAGCAGCCAAAGGGGCATTTCCTGATGTATATTTTGCTCTAGGAGGCTTAGTTTGGTCAGAATCGAGTACAAGCTTCCAGAGTTAGCACTAAATGCTAAATGGTTTCTGGTAGCACCATAGCTGCTAGAGGACTGTGAAAAATTGTGTCCTGGGCTTTTAAGACTCATCTATCCATATATTATCTGAAACCCAAGGTCCATTGGTTGCCAGATGTGATTTTTTTTTTTAAGCTCTCCTACCCCACTATATTGCCTTCTCTAACCTTTCCCAACTTGGTGCTCTTCAGATGTTGTTTGACTCCCATTGTCCCAGACCACTGGCAATGGTGCCTGGGGCTGATGAAAGCAATAGACACCAGTTTGGAGAAGGCTACCCTAACCTGATTGACAGTGAATGTATGAATACAGAAAGCTGCTTTATACAGAGTCAGACCATTGGTCCATCTAGCTTAGTAATGTCTGCACTGGCAGAGGCTCTCCAGGATTTTAGGCTTGGGTCTCTCCCAGCCATAGCTGAGGATGCTGGGGATTGAATCTGGGATCACCTGCATCCTAGGTAGATGTTCTACCACTGGGCCATGGCCCTTTCCCCATGACTCTCCAAGTCCTGGGACAGAGGTCTTTCATATCACCTGCTCCCTTTAACTGGCAACGTCGCTGGCGCTACTTCCATGCAAAGTCATTTGCCCTGCCACCGAAGGGCCAGTCATCCGTGTGACACAGTTAAAGCCTCTCCGACCTTCGTTCATTCACAACCCTCAAGGCACAGAAGCAAATCAAAGGAAAAGCTTCTCAAGTTACATTGAGGAAATAATCGCACTCCACCTGAGCATTGCTAACCACCGGTTATCCTTGCAAGTCCTAACTAGCAATTTGTTTGGCTAAGGTCTTCTGGCTTTCCAGTTGACCTCTTTTTCCGACAGTGCCGTTGCCAAGGCATTTTGGACTTCAGCTACTATTCCAAGAGAATTTGGCTTTTGTGAAGCTGAGCCACAGAGCTCTCGAGTTTCTCTGGCTTCCAGGCCGCACAGTTCTCAAAAGCGCAACAATCCAGGATGGTCTCTTTGATGGCAAAAAGAAGATGTCAACAAGCAAGAAGGTGGGGGGCGGGGGGAGTTTGCAACAAAAACCTGTTTGAGTCCATCTGGCAATTCCTGGGTGTGTTTGGCCAAGTGGCTAGCTTCCAAAGTTGAGGAATTCAGCATGGGAAGAGGACACAGTTTAAAACACAAAGAGAGAGAATGAGAGAGCTCACAATGGATGCCCAGTCGTGAAACTAGATGAAATAAAACCTTTGTGAAATGGATAGAGAGGACAGCAATTTGCTAGGTTGAGAGATCCACTGCAGTCTTTTCAGGAGAAGGTCATGAATAAGGATTGTGGGTGCAGGGAGAGGTTCAATTAAGTTTGTAGTTAAAGGAAGTTTACCCTGTTCACACATTCCAGGGTTGGAATACAGCCACCCGTCAAAATCCATACTTCTCCAAACAAGTAACGTGATGTTGTTGTTGTTGTTTACTCATTTAGTCATGTCCAACTCATTGTGACCCCCATGGACCAGAGCACACCAGGCACTCCTGTCTTCCACTGCCTCCCACAGTTTGCTCAAACTCATGTTAGTAGCTTCAAGTAACATGTACAAAATTGCTAATACTAAAGTATGCATATATGAACATTCTATGTATCTATTTATAAAAACATATTTATAGACCATTGAAAACACATATCAATTAACCACTGTGGCATTTTAAATCTGAAACAGAAGGTGACTGTTGAATCTCTGTTGGCAGAGCATTTCACAATATTGGGTTAATGCCACTAAAGGCTCAGTTTTTTTATATATCAAATGAACCTTACTAGCTTGGAAAGTGATCAACAATCCTCCTGCAGATGATCTTGGTGATCCCTGGCATATCCTGACCCAAAATTGTTGAGGGTATTGTAAATCAAAACAACAAGCTACTGTAGTATGAAAAGAATGTCAGAAACCAGGGCTGAAGCGCTAGCACACTGAAACCCATGTGCGAATGCAGCCATAGTTGGAAGTAACATGGAAGCCAAGGCTTCCATCCCATAATGCCTGCCCTTTGCCATTAAGGCTACTCTGTTCCATCAGACTCTCTTCCTATTTGCCAGTACTTTGAAACCAGCGTTAGAAATTCAGATACTGTATATATCAGCTAAGCGCAACATGGCACCTTAAACCTGGGTTATGGTCGCCGCAATGGAATGTCTAGGCACCCTTTTCTAACAATGAAATTTATTGTTATTCGTTTCTATTATCACTTTATATTTTACAGAAAAAAATCTCAAAGCTGTTTACAACACATTAAAACATCAAATAAAACAATCCAGAATCAAACAAGTTCAAAGGAATTCAAAAGAAAATATTTCACATCCTTGACATTTGGCTTTCCCATATTTATCTACCAATTTAATTTATAGAGTTGGCCAAAAGCAGAACTCTTGGAAGCCAGTATGGTATAATGGCTGGAGTGCCAGACTAGGACCTGGGAGATCACGGTTCAAATACCCCCTCAGTCATGAAGTTCACTGGGTGACCTTGGAGTGAGTCACAGCCTCTTAACCTCCCTGACAGGGTCATTCCAGGGGTCAACTGTGGCGGGAGTGTACCATACACTTCTTGGAGAAAAAGGTGTAATAGAAAGGCAACAAATAAGCTCTTCTGCTTGCCAGCTTAAGAAAGCTGGAGGAGTCAGCAAAACGAAGATGTCAGTCGTCAACCTGGCATCCAGAGATCTCTACATGGTCCCAACTGGATTCATGCAAAATGCACCTGGCGCCTGGCTAATTTCTAACACTGTTTGAAACCATAGCCAAAAGAGCTAGACTGTTCCCACAAGTTTGGCCTCAGCCCAAATAAGAGCCCTGCTGGATCAAACCAAACGTCCATCTAGCCCAGCATCCAATAGCGGTGAGACAGAGGTTTCTAGCAGGCCCCCAGTAGAACATGATGGCAACAATCCTCTTCTCCTATAGTCACCCCCTCCAGCAAGAAGTATTCAAACACATCCACACCCTACAAGATCCCCCCCCTTTCAGCACAATGCTCTCTGTCTTTCAGCTGGGATATGCATCTTGCTAACAGATGGCTGATGTACCAGGGCAGAAGGATTCATAAAGTTTACATGAACCTCCTGTAAACATAAGCCGAACATTTAGAAAGCCCTAGCGCAACCAAAACACGCTCTCAATCAAAGGGAAACTGCACCCCAGCACACAGACCGAAAACCTCACCCAGTTGAGAGCAGAGCTGTCAGTTTAAGAGACTGCTCTCCAGTTATTTATTTAAAATGCATGAGCTTTGCACTTTAACTGTCTGAAACATCGAAGGGTGTTTATTTCAGCTTCGGAGACACTGCACTTGAACTCAATTACGCCAAAGAAAGTGACACCACATGATTTGGATCAAAACCTTGAAGGATGCCCCAAGTGTCACATTTCCATGCAAAGTCTCTGGTTCAGACTAGAGGAACAAGCTACATTTTACATATTGAATTGCAGGCCCCTGATGACAGACTTCCCAGTTGGCACCATAGCCGCTAAATGTACTGAGGATAATGTTATCTACGTATTACTATTACAATATACTATATATAATATTATTACAAGGTGACCCTTAATCCAGAAGAATAACAGCTTCAGCAAATCATATTAACAACAATATAACTAGGCAAGCCGTATAAAAGGCTGCAGACAATGTACAGAGATTATACACTGTAGGTGGGGATAAAAGGAAGAACTTCCCTTAAAAACAAAATCAGTGAACACACAGATCTCAAACACTTGATAGAAGACCTCTCTAGATTCTCACATGCATCTGGTTGGCCACTGTGAAGAAAAGGTTGGGTTTGTTTTCAACTTAGGAAGGGGGGACACCTTGGTAAGCAAAACCCCACACCTGATGAAATTCTAAAGACATTCTGAAGTGTACTGCAGTTTAGGCTGAACAAGGTAAGAAAACTTGCAGGTATTGGAAGGTATGTTTCAGCACAGCACAGAGACCCTTCTGCAATGTTGGAGAGATACTGCCAGTGAGTAGATCTGGGCAACATCTGGTTTTCAACATCACGATGTACCACCAGCTAAACATCACAATACATCAAAGTATCACGATGTCTGAAATAAGGATGGAACTATATAGAGGCAAACACAGTGAGCAACCACCAGGAATGGCTAACTCATGGCTCCCCAGATGTTGCTGGATAGCTCTGATGCGCCCTAGTCAGCTTGGCCACTGGTCAGGGATGATGGGAGGTGATTTATGTTGACAATTTATATACCACTTAATTACGATGGTATTTAAGTGGCATACAAGAACCTTGGTACGATGCAAACAAAAACCAGCTAAAATTGTAAGATCAGACTTCAGTTAAAATGTCTGCTGGGATAATAATTTTGAAAAGGCATTCAGTAGGTGCTAGCAGTTCATCTGGAAGGAGATTCATAAAACTGGATGTACAATACTGAATGTAGCACTGCTCCTGGTGGAAATGAGCCATGGGGGACCACTAACAGTGACTCCCTCAAAGACCAAGCAGGGATATAAGCTTGTTCCCAAAGTATCCTGCAGCTAAGTTGCTAAGGGCCCTATAAATTAATATGAGAACCTTGAAGCTGGCCAGAAAGCATAGGGATAGCCAATTTAAGCTTTTGAGCACTGGACATATGTGATAGATTAGGTATGTTTCAGTCCAACACCACCTGAAGGTTAGCCACCACTCCTGGTGTAGGCAGTTCTGAGTTAGATGGACCATTGCATTTCTTATGTTACTATGATCTAAAGCAGAAAGAGACGCATACTTAAGCCATCAGTCAAGAAAAGAAGAAGAACAAAGACTTGTACTCTCATTAAACACCCATAGCAAATGTGATCTCTCCTGTGGCTGTTTTACTTACCTCTGGACATAAAAGCTAACTCAAAGAGGCCTTGAATTTCAAACACAAACTGCAAGCTTCTCCGTGCAATAGGGGATAGGAGAAGAGAGAGAAAGAGAGCTGAAAACTGCAAGACAAATATCTACCCCATTCCAAGCCCCCTACACCTACCTGGAAGCAATTACCCATGGAAGGCAAGAAGAAGCACATCTCTCCCTGGGTTTGCTTCCTGACAGCTGGAATTCTAATCCTTTACAACAAAACTGTTCCCTTATGCTTTGAAAAAAAGGGGGGAGCCACTCTCTCCCCTCTTAATCTCACTTGGTAGTAAAAATGGAGTCAGCCTGGTTTTGAAGCACCTGGATTTTCATGGATTCTTTCCTGGTCATTCATGTACCCAACAGGAATTAGCTAATGGCACAAAGATGGAAATTCTGGCGGCCGAGAAGAAAAGTCGCCATTTCGATGGAAATCAGGAGCAAATTCGTAATCTGCCATTGGCAAAGAAAGAGAGAGAGAGAGAGAGAGAAAGAAAGAAAGAAAGAAAGAAAGAAAGAAAGAAAGAAAGAAAGAAAGAAAGAAGAAGCTTATTTGTGTACAGCTTCCCAAGCAAAAGGCAAAGAAAGACCTCGTGTTGACTTTAGGCTGACACAAAGGAATCCTTAATCCTTTCATGGGAACTAAATCACCCCAGCACAAACCCCCAAAAGACCCAGGAGAAGCAAGTCTCCCCTGTCAATGTGAGGTTCATTCACAAACAAAGAGATGGCATGAATCAAACTAAGTAAGTAAACAAAATAAGAACCTGAGGTGGGGTGGGGGAGAGAATAAGGAGAAAGGGGGAAGAAAGGAGAAAGGGGGAAATGTGCCCCCTCTCTATCCATCACTGCCTGTTCCTCATCTGAAGGAGAGTAGCGCCTTCTTCCTAGTCACTGTCTCTTCCTCCGAAATGTGGCTTCCATTTCTGTTTGACTCCTTTCTCAAGATCAGGCATCCTTGCATTCCACACACTCAAAAGAAGGCATTAGCAAAATAGAGATGCACTCACCATGTTTACTGGGGGGCATAGAGTGGGGAGATTTGACCTGTTTGAACAAATACATCCTTCCCACCCACCCCACTTGCCATCCCCGATTTTGACCTCTTCTCAATGTAAGAAGAAGCTCATCTGTGTATGCCAAGACAAATAAATCTATTTAGCTTTCCCCCCCTCTATCTCCCCCATCCCTCTAAAAAGGGGTAGGGAGGGGAAAATCCCTTAGTTCAGAACTTCAAAGGGATGCTAATACATGAAACAGGACCAGTGCTCCATTATGCAATTAAAAATAGATATAATTCAATATACATCAAAGTCATTTCAGAAGGAGCAGCGTAATTGCCAAGAGGATCACAGACCTAATGAGTGGGCTTGAGCATTAAGCCTTGCATCTATTCCTAAGGCTAGAGAGAGACACTGGCCGGGGAGGGGGGGGCGGGAGTGCGCACAGAATAATCCATCACAAAACACAAGCTACACATTAAAAATAAGCCAGTAAGCAGTATGAATCACGTACGAGAACAAAAAATAAAATAAAATAAATCCATCACAACTTAGTCACTCTTTAAAAATATGCCAGTAAGAAATATGGATCACATATAATAGCACCAGAAGACCAGTATCTAAATAGTAGAAGGTGACAGTGTTAAAATAAAAAGCTTTCCCCCTTGCATACTCCTAACAACTAACTGATCTGTTTGCTAACCCACATTTCTTTTAGACAGGAAGCAAGACCCATCCATTCCATTGGAGTTTTACAGAGGTATGCATAGGGTTGTGATTGGAGACTTGAGAGGGATAATGACTTAAATCAAGAAATAATTAGGTTTCCGTGTCAATGAAGCATTCATCTTGCCACGCCCACATCCCGAAAGGTAAACTCAAAGGAACTTACGAAAACAAGATTAGGAACAACTGTAAGGCTCTCAAAAATATGTATAAGAAAGAAGATCCAACTCAACTCGACCCCACTAAAACATAAGGAGAACATTAAGACCCAAAGGCCTGTGTAAATAAAAGTGTTGTTGCCTGGTGTCTAAAAGCAGGTAGTGATGGCGCCAGGTGTGTCTTGCCGGGGAGAGCATTCCAAAAACAGGGAGCCCCCCATGGAGAAGGTGTCACACACAAACACCTCCCTTGGAGAGGGAATATTTAGAAAGATCTCAGCCAAGCATCCATCCATGGTTCTCAAGCTATTCTGGAAACCAAAAGCCCTTTTTGTTTCTGTTCCGACCAAGCTTCCCCAACCAAGTCATCATGACCATCAGCAGTGCCAACCTACTCTTGTAGGTTCCATGCACCTAGCACAATCCTGCATTCCTACACCATTTGTAGAGGCAGAGGACATTTCAAGTCCAAACTGGAGATGCCAGAGCTTGAACCATCCATGCGAGGGGGGGTATCGTTCCTATTTATTATTATGGTATGTATTGGGGGGGGGAGGTTATATCGTAAACCGCCCTCTGTGATCTTTGGATGAAGGGCAATATAGAAATTTAATAAATAATATTAATAGTGCCAGGCTGGTGCTCTACCACTGAGCTTTGCCTCTTTCCCCAATCAGAGCATCGGCAAGAACATTAGGGCTAATAAGCTGAGCTAAATTTTGCAGACCCCTCTCCTATCTCCAAGTACCTATGACTGAATAGAGGGTTTGGCCTTTTGACTTGGGGGGGGGCATGTGAAAGTGGAAGGGAGAGAAAGGAACCGTAGTGCTGAAAAGGCTGACATATGAGCCATGAGATAAGAGCGACTGCAATTAAGACCATGTGCTCTGTTGCACAGAAATATTTACAAATCACCTCAGAAGCAAGTGGTGTATGTGTTGAAAAAGCCCAAATAGCTCATGGTCACAAATTACAGAATGTTATATATATATATGCAGTAAGACAGTAAGACTCTACACCAGTCTGCACATGAACACCAGGATGTTTTTAACTGCAATCCCCATCACCCCCAAATATGAAGATAAGAAATATCTGTGGTTGTGTTATGGTTTTCAAGGTCTGTGATAGCTGAAGGGTTATAATTACATTTTTCAACACTCACACACACCAATAACCCAAAGTACATTTTTGTACCATTTTGCAAAGAAACAACATTTTGCTTAAAATTTATGGACAAAGTCCTTCAACACAAGAGCAATGAAAGCCCAGTGTTTTGTTCAAGCAGATCTTGGAACTGCGCAAATTCCCCATCAGACACCCCACTAATAATAATAATAATAATAATAATAATAATAATAATAATGTCAAAGGAGCACAACACATGCATTGCTCCTTGTTTACATCCTGTATCGGTGGCAGTTTCTCTGTAGGAGTGACTAGTTCTTATCTACTATACAATGATCATTCATTTATGCTTCTGCCCTAGTTCAGTAACTAACAGGTTCAAACCCAAGAGCACTTTAGGGGTATCTGAGAGGATGATATGATGAAGCATGACCTGCCCAAAGTTAAAGGTGAAGAAGAGGAACTTCTGGCCAAAAAGAATAAGGTGTTTCCGCATGGCTTCGGCAGTTTTAAGTATATAAACGAAGCTTATTCTGCCCTTAAATAAACTGTGCATTTGCTGTTCCTGGCATTGCCTGTATAGGCATCTCAAGGTATGAATCCACTTTCTACTGAGACAGGTCACTGGTTCACCTAGAGTAGATTATGGGCATCTTGTCTGCTTCGACTGCCCACAGCTCTCCTGTGTTTTGTTTCATGTGGAAGGGCCCTTCCCATCACCTGAACCTTTTAAACTGGAGCTACTAGGGATCAAGCAAAGCATTCCACCATTAAGATGCAGCCCCACCTCTACAAAGGCTGCCAGACTTTTCCAGGATACAATACTCTGCGAAAGAATGCCCTCTCTATGCTACTTCGTTGGCTCAACAAAATCCACGAGAGATGAGAAAACCAGAGGTTAAAAGGAGTCTCACCACATGAATTAACCAACTTACCAGCCTCCATACAATCATAATCAAAAATCAGAACACTGCATGCAAAATTCCGACCCCACAAAGCACCACTGCAATGCTTGCTATGATCTCCATTATAAACACAAACATTTGGAAGGAATTAATGGAATTTGTTAAAACTATGTTTCTGTCTGCCTCTTATTGACTGATCCCACCAGACAAAGATGCAGGTAACAACTGCTGCCACACACATTCCAGGTATCATGTAACAGTAACTGCCTGCCCTACAAACTGGCTATTCATAATTCTCTATCCATCACACAAGCTGATCAAGAGGCAAAGCATATTTAAACATTCCCCAAATCGACACGTTATTGAAATGAGCTCAAAACTGAAGCCTTTTTAATGCTGTTTTTGAATATATTATGAATTCATGCCTGGCCATCCAGATATAATTTATGAAAGGTTTTAAGCACACCATACATTAAAAGCACTATGATACCCACTTTAACAGTCACAGCTGGGAACTGTAGTTTCTTAAGGGTGCTGAGTTTCTAGGAGACCCCCAATTTCTCTCACAGAACTACAATTCCCAGAGTGGTTTAACAATCCCTCTTCCCAGGAAACTCTGGGAATTGCAGCTCTATGAGGGGAATTAGGTGCCTCCTAATAACACTACAGCTCCCATGATGCCTTTTTTTGGGCGGGAGCCATGACTGTTATAGTGGTACCATCATGTTTAAAATATATGTGTGGTGCTGGTGTGTTGTGTAGATTTCTAACGTTTTTTTAAAAAATACTTTTTCGGCAGAATAGCTCAAAAATATCAAACAGCTGGGAGAGTCTCAGGAAATACTGGAGATTCTGAGCACAAAACCTTTGGTTTAATTTGTGACTGCACATACAAAGATGTGATGCAGCAGGCAGGCAGGCAGGCCTGGAGTCAGATCTGGGAAGATTATACTCTTACCTTTGTTTGCAACAGTGTTGAACAACTTTTCAGAACTGGAGTCGGAGACCTAAAAAGCAATGGAAAAGAAATACACATTAGATCGTTAAGTCAAGTATATACCAACATGAAGGTAGTGTAGGGGGGAGATATTTATTGTTTTACACTTCAAGGGTACAAAAAGGAGATTTTAAGTCACAGACAGAAACATAGCTGTCAACGTTTCCCTTTTTTTAATGGAAATTCCCTTATTCCGAATAGGATTCCTCGCAAGAAAAGGGAAAAATTAACAGCTATGGACAGAAATAAATTTTGGTGGAGGAGAGTGAAATATGGATCTCAAACCCTAAATGCCCAGAAGATGGTGCTATTTGGCCATGTCTTAATTCCTACAGTAGATCTGGCAGTGTTTTCTGGGGTTTAGGGAGAGAACGCTGGATATTTCTGCGGGTCTGTTTTTAATTGTTGCATATTCAAATCAGCAGCAACATGCACGCACACACAGAGATATATATTGCGTGTGTGTGTTTTCTCAATACAATACGAACTCTAAGCAATTACAAACCACATTGCAATCCGAGAGAGATATGGCAATAATCATTTGTATCCCGTTCCCTCCAAGCAGACCTGAGAAGGCATACAGGAAGCTATCCATCTGAAGGCACACCCTCTGAAGTAGGTTAGACAGAGGCATGTTTAGCCTGCTCACAACTGAGCGCAGATTTAAATTTCCACGCCGATGATAATCTGATCTCACAAACAACCACAACGGGTTCTCCATACAAACTCCTTGACTTCCTTTAAGACATCTTAGGCCAAGGATAGGAAAGCAATGGCTTTCCCATCTCTGCCTTAGTACCTGTTCATTAACCAAACTTGGAACATTTCAGAACGTCTGCACATCACATCACTGCTGTGGGATGTTTTATCAGACCAAACCGCAAACAGTTGCCACCATCTCAATGATGCATTAATCTTGGTCAAAATAAGCAGGATGAAAACCCACTTTTCTCAGTTGAATTGATAACTACTATTATAACAATAAAAATACTATTGCGTGTGTTTCTTAGTCATGATGCCAAATTTGAAATAAAATACAAATGGTTTTAATCAGCCATTCCAGAGCTTTGTTTACAAGAGAGCTCATTTGCTGTTCGACATTATACAAGCAGAATAGAAGCCACCTGAACACTAATCTCACCTCTTAAATCTCTCTAAAGACTTCCTGAAAAGCAAACCCCCCCCCAATAATAAAAAGAGAAAAGCAGTCTCCATTGAGCAAATCTATGCAAATTGATAAGCAAACGCACACGTTTTAGGATATTTTGCCAAACAACAGGCATCCAGCTAATTTGTTAGCACAGTCTTCCCCAACCTGGTGCTCAGTAAATGTTTTGACTATAATTCCCAGCAGCTTCAGCCACAACCAGCATCGCTGACCATTAGCCATGTTGCTTGGGACTGGCAAGAGTTGGAATCCAGACAGCACATTGACTAGCCCTGTCATAGTGCAATCCTATGCATGTTTTCTGAAAGTGAGTCCCGCTCTCTTCAGTAGAATAAGCGTACACACCAAACGGCAGGCTCCCACGGTTGTAGCCACAGGAATATAGTCTCTCTTTCTAACCAGTCTTGTAATTCACAATTGCCTTCTCATTTGAACCCTCTTCTTTCACTCATGGAACACTTTTACTAATGCAAAATATGTCAGGTAGTAGTATATTGTGGGGCTCAGATTTAACGGCTTCTGCGGCCGCCAGATTACGTTCCAAAGCCTAAGAGATTCACAAGCATAGCTGCAGTCAAGATCCACCATCTATATGCTCACAGGAAATTGCTTTCATGAGTGGGAAAAGATGCCATTCTAGCCATTAAGATTTCCTGCTAGCAATTAGTGTGAGGGAAAGAGAAAGCTTTGTGCATGTGAAAAACAAATTAAGAACTCGACAAAAGCCAGCTATTTGTGATCTATGCGTCTGCAAACAATGGATAAATGGTAAGTTAAATTGAACGTTAATATGTAGCGTATGAAGAAATTAAAGCCACACTCATACATTTGTGAACATCAGGGATACTAGCTACTTGCTTCTACAGCTGACCCTACACATGTTAACTTATAGGTAAGTTCTAACAGGGATTACACTGAAATAAATTTACACAAAACTGCATCCTTTATCATTGAAAAGCCGACCGAAAAGACCAAAAATGTTTTTATTTACTGGTAATTCTTCATTTGGTGTCTTGTTGTTTTTAAGGCTTTAGTCTCAGTATTCTGAAGTGATTTCAGCAGATTAAAACTCCTTGTGTTTAGGACACAGCAATACAAAATACATTCCAACCCCCATTACAAATGTTGGGTGTATTACCTGCAGACAGATTCATCCTGCAGAACAGCCAAGCAAATCAACCCGAGAGAAGTTTGCCTTCAAGAGCAGAGGAGTCACCCAGTTTCACCCAATTTGAGAGGTTCCTCATTGCTTTCCTAACCTTGCCATTCAACCGGATCTGCAACGCAGAAGAATAGCTTTCCACACTGGCTTCACCCGCTGCCATGCATTCGAATCCAGCTCTCCCCCAGAGATCCAAAGCAATGCTTTGAGTGCATGTTGTGTGCTCATTTAATTTGCAACTTTCAATAGTTTAAAGGAAGGTTTATTATCGTAACCGCTATGTTACAGTATTTTGATACTTTGGATGCACAAGGTAACTTGTCTTTAACACATCCACCCTACTTCGGCGGGGGGGGGGGATAGAGAGTTCCCTCATGTTTGCGATGACAGCAAATAATTAAGAAAAACACCATTTATCTATGGAAGACTCCCGCAGTCTCTGGCAGAAACCCTTTCTCAATACCACTGCTGAGGTTGCTCGGGATGTTTGCAAATCACAACACAACACAAAACAGATATTCCATCCAACATTGCGCTCAGAGTCATATCGACTTTTAGTAGCATGCTCCCCAACACCATTTAAGAAATAAATTATTGAGGGGAAAGAACACCTGAGAGGAAAGAGGACACATGCTTTGAACTTTTGTTTGGACTATTTAGGGGGTGGGGGACAGGAGGCATTTGGGAACTCCTTTACAAAACCGATTTCCTCCTTTAGTCAAATTGCAGAGTGCAAACCTCTGTCCTTTTATTCTGAATGATTTCCTATTTTCTTCAGCAAAGAGAAGCTGGAGAAGCCAAGATAAGAAGGTGTCAAATGGGTCCCACTCTCAAATGAACTCAAGTTTTTTATATACAAAAATAAATAAATAAGTAAATAGGGAGAGGCATGGGGGATGATGGGCAGGAAATCAATTTATTAGCAGCAGCAGGAGGAAATTTACTCTCTCCGGGAGAGGAACAGGCAATGGGATCTGCAAAGTTCCATTTATCAAAGGCCATTTTTTTCCAGATGGGAAATTATAATTCTGACACGGGTAGGATTTCATGACCAATAAACGGGGCCTCTTTTGCAAGGTGGCAGGAGGGGGACGGGACCCTTTCATTTAATTTCTTCTCAAGGCCTTCTTTCAAAAGGCGATGGAAAACGTGTGCCCTGCTTGTTTGCCATTGGGGAGCCAAGTGTGTTCGGATGCGCTAACGTCAAGTTCAAGGTACATTTTGACAAGCAAGTCTCTCGACAGATAGAGATAAGGAACGTAAGACTCTGCCTCATCCTAAGTCAGAGCATTGGCTCCATCTGGCTCAGTGCTGCTTACACAGACTGGCAGCAGCTCTCCAGGATTTCAGAGAGGGAGTCTCTCTCCCAATCCTACCTGGGGATTGAACCGGGACCTCCTTCATGTGGGGCAGATGCTCTACCCCCAAGCTATGGCCCTTGCTCTCCCAGCAGTGCCTTCAATCCAATCCTGCTTTTGACAAAAGCCTCATCAGCTCTTCTGGCTACAGACATTGTGCGGACAAAGATGAGTTTGGGGAGGGAGCCACCATCTCCCTCCCTCCCTCTTTCATTTTCTCCTTGCCTTTAAGGTTAAACCTTTTAGCTCCCAAGCACCCCCCTCCTTCATTCCCCTTGGACTCCAAACGTTAAAAGTCAGCAAACCTCCAGGCTAAGGAAAATCAGTTCCTCCTCTCTTCCATCAAGGAATTTATTGCCATACAGGGGGATGTATTACTCAAAAAATATTTCCTGTCCAGACAGAAAAGGGGTTGGCGCTTTGCTTTCTTGGCATGAGCCAAGGCCAGGCACTTGCAAAAACATCAGCTCTGACATGAAAGGCTTTTTGAAAGCGGGATCCAGCCACCGCAAGCCACCTCCCGCCTAAAGGGGTGGGGGAGAAAGAGAGAATCCTCCAAGCCATAATTAGGGGCTGAGAGACTGCTTTGCATCAAGGAAAGCCTGCCCTCGCAGAACAGAGACTCTGCACGCTGCAACCTATTAGCTGAGTGCGCAGAGATCCTCTTCCCCTGCTCTCGGCCCATGAGCACAAAACTGGCAGGGAGAGAGCAACACCCAGATGCTTTTCCATTCATCCTCCCAACCCAGGGATCTATTTTTTCACAATCCTAACCATCATCCCAGAGAGCAAGAAAGCAGCCTCTCCGTTCCTCAGACACCCCGTTCTTCCGACACCACACAGATGGAGGCAAAGAAGACAATGGAAGTTCTGGTTGTTTTTAGAGACCTGAAAGCAGGCATACGACATGTTCTGTGGACATATATCTGGTCCAAGAGACCCACAGCAGGTCAGAAGATATATGTATATATATATCTCACTGCAAGACCGCTGCAAGGACACCAACATATTGAGGGTGATGGTACTTTACCATACCATAATCCAGTCTCTGGCGAGAGAAAATGACCCATCCACACAGCCCAAGTGAATGTCAAAAAAGAAGGCCATTGTGGTGTATGGAAGAGAACTCTACATTTTGACCTTGGTTCAAATCACTGCTCAGTCACAAAGCCTACTGGGAGACCTTGGGTCAGCCGGTACCTCTTTTTCAACCTAACCTACCTCACAGGGGTATTGTGAGGACTAGGAAGGGAGCAACAGTAAGTGTGTGTTTTGTGTCTCCCCCTGGATTTCTTGGAGGTAAAGCAAGATAAAAGGAGTAAGTAGCAGCAGCAGCAGCAGCAGCAACAACAACAAGAACCCCTTTTTCGCTGTGCCAGAGGATAGCCGCTGTGTTTATCTACATCGGAAGACCCAGACAGCAGGGGGATTGACCAGGCATGGTCTGAAAAACAGACAATAAGGCAACTTGGCTGAAATCAAAGCAGGTCTGAAGAATGGCAAGATAGAAAAGCCATGAACTAAATTTTGAAAAGAGGTCCCACACCAGGCAGGAAAGCCTGCAGTGAGATCACCCCATAACAAAGTAGTGTGCGTGACAGGCTACGTGGAGATGCAAGAGAAATACTATTTTGGGTGGGAGTGCAACAGCACTTTATTTATTTATTGCTATGTACCTTCCATAGGCAAGCACCAGTGAAAAGGAAAGAAGGGGGACCACTTTGGAGTTAATTCCTTATGCACACCAGCCTAGCCTCAATCAGGATGTAACAGCAGCAATATGGTATCATAATGAGGATATGCATGCCATATACACTGAGGGTGGGGACAGTTCACCCAAAGGAAACCGCCACCAAGCCCATCAGGTAGAGAGAGAGAGATTTGCGGATGTCAAACTCATTCGGTCTCCCAAACCTTCCCAATCCAGGTTCCACGCTCATGCACAACAGGACAGAGAAAGAAATTAAGTTTCTCCCTTCAATTATTTTAAAAGCCAGTAAGCCAGGACATGGAAACTGTTCGCTCATCTATTCAACAAGAGCCCTCCAGATACTGGAACACTGTTCCCAAACAGACTTTGGGACGTTGTTGTTTTCCCAACGAAAGAGGACACCCTCTTCTGCACTGATGGATTGGATTGGCTTTGTTTTCTTTTAGATGAGGAAGGGACAGAGGTGATATGACAGGCTTGTGGCTGTGGGACAAACCTGCCCAGCCCTCCCCACCACCACGAATATTTTTCTTGAGGGTGGTGGGCAAAAAGGCACATCCCCCATCCTTTCAACTTGCGCCATTTCAGCGTGGACTGCAAGCCAGCCACAAGGAATTCTGATTCCAAGAAGAAAACAAGGGAGAGAAGCACAGCAACCACAGCCTCCGCAAGACCATGGTTTGTGGCAGGTCTGGGGGGCAACTTTCAATGCACGAAGCCGCTGCCCCCATACATACACACACACACACACACACACACAGACATTGTACTAAACCAAGTAAGCCTCCCTCTCACCAGACACAAACGGTGCGCTAAAGAAAGCAAAGGTACAATCCACACAGATACACAGAAACGCACCACACCTAGCGGGTCGTTCAAATTTTGCCCCGAGCGCAATTGCATGAGGCCATTTACCTGATCGCGCAAAGGGTTAACCCCAACTGACAGCCCCCAAGTTCATGGTGTTTTGTTTTGTTTTTTAGAGGGGCGTGGTGGAGATTGATTCTCCGACAAACTCGGATCCGTCTGCTCTGAAGAAACGCTTATTCCCAAAAGAAAAACCAAACTATTCCATCCAAGAGCGAGCCTTTCCTTGTTGTAGGTCTTCCAGAGTGCACGGCCATTCCGGGAGGAAGAGTTGTTGCGACGGAGTGGCTTTGCGGGGTGGGTGGGGGGCGTAATCGCCGGTCCTTCGGTGGTTAGGGAGGAAGAAGAAGCCGCCGAAGGGCTAAAGCGGCTAAGGAAGAGGAGGGGCTGGGGTGGAAATCAGGGGCCGTGCTGGGAGATTCCAGCCGGCAGGAGAAAGGGAAGCATGTGCGCCCAGGGCGCAAAGAACCCCTTTTGGCACCGCGCGCTTTGGAGAGGCTCCGGGCGCCCAAAGACGGCGGCGTCGGCGGCGTCTACTGTTCCCGTGTGGTTGCCTCTCCTCCTCCAGAAGGGAAGAGAAAAGGAGCTCGCAGATCCACCGCCTCTTGTTGGCGCACACAAAGCGCCTCTCCAAGCTGCCCCCCTCCCCGCTTCAAGTGAATTCCATGGGCACCGAGGCGCGCCGGCAGCGGAGCGATCCCATAATCCAGAAAGTCCAAAAGCGTGGCCCAAAGCGAAGGCGCCCCCCTCCCCGGACGGCCTGGGGCTCCGGAGCAGAAGCCGCCGAGGAAAAAGCAGCGCCTGTCCGCCGGCTGCCGCGCTCCCGCTCCCTCCGACGGCTCCGCAATCTGGCACGGCTGCTTTCCCACCGCCAGCCAGCAGCGCCGCCTCGCCCGCCCGCTCCGCCCCGGCGCAGGCTCCGCCTCCCGCTTCCCCGCCTCCGCCGCTTGGCTGCGCCGCGCGCCTCCCCAGTCCGGCTGCAGCCCGGAGTTTCGTTGGAAACAGCTCCCGGCGGGATAATTGTAAGGCAGCAGGCGCCCGCGTGGCAGAAAATCTCCCCGCGCGCTACGAATCCCTGAAAATAATTTAGCAGAAGGGCCCCCCAAGCCGGAGAAGTGGGTTGAGGAAGTGAAGTAATACACCCAAAGTGTCTTTGAGTCAAAAAGCACCTAAGGCCGCGTAGATCATAGAATTGGAAGGGATCCTGAGGGTCATCTAGTCCAGCCC